TTTAACTAAATAAGCTTAAATAAAATGAAATGCGATAATAATTTTATTAAGTGATTAACTTCATTTTCTTTTGCATAAAACCAATATTTTATTTCTCGATGTTCTATTTTCATCTCCTAAATTTTTCCTTTTTTCTTGCTGATATCAACTAAATTTGTTTTTAAATAAAAATATCGAATGCGATAATAAAAAGTTATTAAGTGATTTACGTGATTTCATTGTGTATTTAACCAATATTACATTTCTCGATGTTCTATTTTCAGCTCCCAAATTCAATGACTTCTGCAAGAAGTGCATTGAAGAGAGAAATGGTGTCGGTTACTACGAGAACCCAGAAGACTGCAGAACTTACCTCCAGTGCGACTTGGACGAGAACCTGAACGTTAAGGTTCACTTGAAGGAATGTGCCGAAGGTACCCTCTTCGACGGCAGCATCGTGACTTGTGTCCCCTGTGAGGTCGCCACCTGCCCAGGCAGCAAGGCCCCATACCCACAGTGCCCACCAAGAAGTAAGTTAACAGAATCGTCACATTTCGAAGTACTTTTAAAAAAGCTCAACAGCGCTGGCGAGAGAGTGATGCAAAATAACAATTTCAATTTTCTTTCTTTTTTTTAATAGTTTTATTGTATGATGCAGTTGTATTCAGTACAACCATGAAGTACTAGCAAATACCTTTATTTCAATTAACCAGACTCACTAACCAACCGTTTGTTCTTGTTAAGCTCCACCACCAACCACCACCATCGGTTACACCACCCTTCCCCAGTTTGACGGCAAATGTGACGGCCCTGACGGATGGACCTACTTGGCCGTGTGGGGTGATGCCAACACCTTCTACAGATCCCAGACCCTCGGTGACGACACCAGAATTGAGCGTGTCAGCTGCGGACAGTGGGAGTTCAACGTTCACAGATGCATGTGCATGGTTCCAGGTATGTAAAAATCTCTGTGTGGTATTGACATTAACATAAACATTTTCTGTAAAAGGCAAAGTCGCAACCTGCATCAAATTTGTGTGCAAAATCTCGACTTCGATGTGTTTTTCTTTTTTTTTTTTGTCTTAAATATAATTATAAGTTGACAAGGCAAGTACAGAACGTTTCTTTTCCAAATGTACTAGTGCTTGTATCTTATTCAGATAGCATACCGTTTAATTTATTTAAAAAAGCACCATTATTTACCTTGATAATTTCTTCTAGATCTCCAGGCTATCGCCCTGTGGCCATTCGATGAGGATACCAACACCAAGGTCGACAACTTCTGGACTGACTGCGCTGGTGTAGAACTTGCCCCAGGAAAGGTCGGATATGCTGCTCACTTCAACGGCACCGTCCACTGCGAGGTCCCACGTTTCAACAACTACCCATGGGGCTCTGCCCTCACCATCTCTTTCTGGTACGACAACGCCGCTCATGCTAAGAACGAGCGTGAGGGTCTTCTCAGCAACGGCAACTGCGCCATCGAGCCAACCATCACCATGTACTCTGACCGCGGCCATATTGGTGGCCGTGTCCTGATCGACAACAACGGCACCCTGGTGACTGTTGATCTTGGCTCCTACGGTGGAAACGGCTGGAACCACGTGGCCCTGGTCTACGATGGTCTCAGACTGAAACTGTACGTCAACGGACATCTGTCTGTGGATGAGATCGCTGTTGGTACGTACGGATTTTCGTTTTGATTGAATTTAGTTAGTTTACCTAAGGCTTAATAGTTTACCTCAAGTACAACCAAGCTGTGCAAAAACTACCAAATACACGGAATATTCAACAATGTGCACAAGATGTACGGTTTTGTTCTGTGCTAAATGTCGTGCACTTAAAAATGAGCCATTGATAATCATGGAGTGGCTTAAGTTCCGGTCGGTAAACCGAATTTTCAATAACATAAGTAATCATTTTTGCTTTGTTTTCCTCAGGTTCTATCCCAGCTACCCTTGCTCCACTGTACATGGGTAGAGACTTGGACTGTGAGGCCAATGGTGGTTTCCGCAACACCAACCTGGTCGGCTTCCTCGATGAGGTCCAGATCTACGACTGGGCTCTCAATGAGGCCATGATCGCCAGACTCTTCTCCGGTGACAGAAACATCAAAATGGCCAGAACCGACTAAATCCACAACGCCAGTTCCCTATTCACGCTTTGTGCTAGAGCATGTTAACCAAACATTGATGAACTGTTTTAAAATACTGGGTTTCTTGGCCGATCATTTCTGAACAAGATCATGAAGGCTGCGTATGACTCTTTGTTTGATGTTATGTTGCACTGCGGGTGTCATTCCCCTTTTCCCCTAAAATTTTTCCTCTTGCTTTTAAGTTGAAAGCCTTTGTTTACCCTTTAAGGTAAATGCTTCTTTTTCTTTTCCTGTTTGTTATGCATTATTCAATGTCAAACAAGTTGTTTTTGTCCTTTTTTAAATTATGAAATAAAAGTATGTATAAATGAATTTACCGTTTTCGTTTATGTATTTTAATTCTGTGTAACCCTACATTTCTGAAAATTTGGAAATTTCTCCTCATGTCCATATTTTTGATTTCTTTTTGTTTTGAAAGATGCATTGATTTATCTGTTCACGAATTTAATACGCGGGATAGAGCAGTTATGCTCTTCAATCAACTGCAAGTACAAAAATTGATATTTCCCTCCAATATTTCGATGGCCATCCAGAACATCTTCACTGGTGAATGAGGCTAGCGCAGTGAATATCCTCACATACGTGTCCCCCTCCCACCTTATACCTTAGAAAAGTCAGGTACAGACAAGGGAGGATGGTCCCACCATTTCTGTTTAGTGTGGCCTCCGTCTCCCTGATGAGAATGGACTAAGGCTGTGTTCAGATTAAAAGTTATCGGTCCAGCAGGAACGACTTCTCAAACAAGTGCTCGTGCACATGATGAACTTTAACAACGTTGATGATAATACCATGTTTGCAGACTCTCGATGCGCGGGATGAAATACAGTCAGAGGTACGAGTTACGGCCTATTGATTGCTATAAGAGGAAACTCGGAGATGTGGAGGTTGGGCGGATCCGTCACGGCGCAGTCGGTACCGTGCTTGATTGCAAAATACCGAGCCATCACACCATGGTGACGGCAAGTAACGAGCTCAAATCCCAGATGACGCACGTCAATTCATTACAACAACGAGCTGACACCGTAATCGAAAATAAATACAGGCATTCGTGTGTCCGAGCAAATTACGTTTTGCATATAGTTTAGAATTAGTGATCGATTTTGACAAATTATTGCTGGACATTATCATAAACTATATTTCTTTTTTCTGCTTTAAAGTCTTTAAAATGATACTTAGGCTGGGATGGTCATGATTCTTTACCAACTACGCAACAGTTCAAAATTGAATTGAGTCAATACCTTACCCGGCATGGCGTTATGCATGTCATACAGCCCTTTTATAAAAAAAGCTCTCTGATTGTTGGGACTATCAGCAAGAAAAAAAAAATTCAAAAGTCACATTGCCTGCTCTACGTAATCATACAATTTGGTTTTTATGCCCCCCCCCCCCCCCACCTTTGGCCTACAGTACCCGGGGCAACTCCTACCCTCTACCAGGGTGGCAGATTATAGAGCGAAAAACGGAAAACGGCCAAATGACTGTCTATTTATCTAGAGACATATCTGTGAATATCTGTGAAAAATCAAGGTAGGGTAGGCAACTCCACAGTGGACGTTTGAAATGGCAAAGACTACTCACAACTAAAACTGTCAATTTGTGAACCGCTTTGGCTCTCATCGTGCTCTATAGCCTCACATGTGAAGTCAAACGTAAACTCAGTGTAAAACAAAACTGAAATAACAGCGTCTGAAATCATCTAACTAGAAATATTTGGCTGTTTCGTAAGATTGTCACCTGAATGGCCGACTTTTGGGTGCCAGTGAAAGGGAGTACCCCCTCCCTCCCCGGACGAATTACCTGTAAGAACCCGGTGAAGTGGAAAGGTAAACAGTAGCGGATGTAGGGGTGTCAGAGGGGACCTGACCCCTCTTCGATTTCTGAAAAAAAATCTCATCACACCAATGGTCCCCTCTTGAAATTAGAATTTTTAATAGCTAAATCATAGTTGTAAACTGTACCAAGTGGCACCGTTCGCCCTCTAAAATACCAAATTTTCCGTCTCCGGACCCCACACCAAGAGGAGGGGGGTCGATTTCACATCCGCGGACCCTTAAAAAAATCCTGGATCCGCCCCTGGTCACGTGGAATGATACAAGTCGTAATCTTCCGAACGAAAGTAACCTTGTCACGGAATTGGCCGAATCAACGGCTCCAAGGGTCAGATGAAGCTATTAGGTGCCGCGGATCAAGTGGGGCAACCACACCAGGTCATGCCACCCTCTAGGCATTTTATCAACTGTTAATAGGGCTTTTTTTACAGCTAGATGACTAAATGTTGACTTCATTTGTTTACTGAAGAATGCTGGAGAGCAAGGTCTTCAGTAAAAAAAAAGCCAACATGTAGCTATAGTCTTCTACCTGCAAGAGGCTTATTGCGCCAGTTAAACCGAAGGACCAGTTGAAGAGGGAAATATTTATGAAAAAACATTGCAATGTATAAACAACCTCAGGAATCCGGGCATTAAATGCATGTATCCATATTCAAGTATGCCGCTGAGGCAACGCACCTTTTATTGCAAAGCGGGGGGGATGGGGGGGGGGGGGATGGGGGGGGGGGTTTGAAAAAGAAGCACGAAAAATATCGGGTAACAGTTACGTTCCCCTTTTTTTTGTACACGCTTGCCACGATAAAATGATTTGTTACAGATGTCGTAGGCAATAAATTAATAAACAATTCTACTTTATCTTATTATATCTTATATATTTTCATGCCACATTTATTATCCATCTGTAAATTTATTCATTTACTTATTTATCAAAAGGCATTAAACATATTGGAAAGATCTCATTTCAAAGCCTGACATTTCAATATATCATTTTAAAATATTTGTAACTAAATTTAGAGAAAGTAGCGCAACACAAAATATTAAATTCATTTGTTCATACTTTTATTTCATTATTTAAAAAATACAAGTACAAATTGTTTGAAATTGAAAACTGGACAGCAAAAAGGGGCAGAAACTGGAAAATTAACCAAAAAAGGTAAACAAAGAACTGAAACTTATAACAAGAGGGAAAAGACCAAGTGAAATGGAAAAAAACACCTGAGATTTTAAATATGCTGCTTAAAAGGATACTGCGGCACTACCATAAAATAGCGCGGGACTCTAGGTGCAAGCAGAAACGCAGTAAATCCTCTGACCCAATATGGGGATAGTTAGGGCGTTCCTAGAAACAACTATCTTTGCAACAACATCTCTTGCTCTGTTCGCCGCAGTTAACACATCATCAAACAAAGAGTCATAGGAGGCTACGTGGCCTTTCTGATCTTATTAAGAATGAACAGCCACGAAGACATCGTATTTCAAAACAGTTCATCAATGTTAACTTAACATGCTCTGACACAGAAGCGTGGATAGGGAATTTGATGCTGTGGATTTAGTCGGTTCTGGCCATTTTGATGTTTCTGTCACCGGAGAAGAGTCTGGAGATCATGGCCTCATTGAGAGCCCAGTCGTAGATCTGGACCTCATCGAGGAAGCCGACCAGGTTGGTGTTGCGGAAACCGCCATTGGCCTCACAGTCCAAGTCTCTGCCCATGTACAGTGGAGCAAGGGTAGCTGGGATAGAACCTGAGGAAATCAAAGGAAGAACGATTATTCATGTTATCTCGTAATTTTGAACAAATGAAAATTTTCTTAACTTACCGAAGAAAATTATACCGTATTAAGTTATAAATATATGAATCATTCTACGATTGTCAATGACTGATTTTCAAGTACGCAACATTTAGTGTAGAACAAAACCTTGCATCGTAATGTATATTGTTGATAATCCTGCGCATTTGGTAGATTTTGCACGGCATGACTGTGTCTATGCTAAAACTAACGGCAATAACTCAATCAAAACAAAATCAGTACGTACCAACAGCGATCTCATCCACAGACAGATGTCCGTTGACGTACAGTTTCAGTCTGAGACCATCGTAGACCAGGGCCACGTGGTTCCAGCCGTTTCCACCGTAGGAGCCAAGATCAACAGTCACCAGGGTGCCGTTGTTGTCGATCAGGACACGGCCGCCAATATGGCCGCGGTCAGAGTACATGGTGATGGTTGGCTCGATGGCGCAGTTGCCGTTGCTGAGAAGACCCTCACGCTCGTTCTTAGCATGAGCGGCGTTGTCGTACCAGAAAGAGATGGTGAGGGCAGAGCCCCATGGGTAGTTGTTGAAACGTGGGACCTCGCAGTGGACGGTGCCGTTGAAGTGAGCAGCATATCCGACCTTTCCTGGGGCAAGTTCTACACCAGCGCAGTCAGTCCAGAAGTTGTCGACCTTGGTATCGGTATCCTCATCGAATGGCCAAAGGGCGATAGCCTGGAGATCTAGAAGGAAAAGCTTTATTTTTAAGACAAAGGAATTTTTTTTTGATAAATACCTTTTTGATAAAAATTTTCCCCACGACAATTAATATTCTAATTTTATTGTATAGGGTTTTGAAATAATTTTCAAAGAAAGTTATACATGCCCTGTATGTATTGACACTATTTATTTTGTGCAATCAGGACCAAGCTTACCATTTGACATTGGCAATCTATCAAAGTTGATAATTTTGATGTCAGTATCAACACAGTGTTTTTTACATACCTGGAACCATGCACATGCATCTGTGAACGTTGAACTCCCACTGTCCGCAGCTGACACGCTCGATTCTGGTGTCGTCACCGAGGGTCTGGGATCTGTAGAAGGTGTTGGCATCACCCCAGACGGCCAAGTAGGTCCATCCGTCAGGGCCGTCACATTTGCCGTCAAACTGGGGAAGGGTGGTGTAACCGATGGTGGTGGTTGGTGGTGGAGCTAAATAAGAACAAACAGTTGATTAGGGAGTCTGGTAAATTGAAATAAAGGTATTTGCTAGTACTTCATGGTTATACCGAATACAACTCTATCATGCAATAAAATCAAAGTAAAAGTAAATAGAATTTGTTATTTTGCAACACTCTCACGTCAGCTCTGCTTCTCTTTTCGAAACTATTTCAAATTGTGAAGTTTCTGTTAACTTACTTCTTGGTGGGCACTGTGGGTATGGGACCTTGCTGCCTGGGCAGGTGGCGACCTCACAGGGGACACAAGTCACGATGCTGCCGTCGAAGAGGGTACCTTCGGCACATTCCTTCAAGTGAACCTTAACGTTCAGGTTCTCGTCTAAGTCGCACTGGAGATAAGTTCTGCAGTCTTCTGGGTTCTCGTAGTAACCGACGCCATTTCTCTCTTCGATGCACTTCTTGCAGAAGTCATTGAATTTGGGAGCTGAAAATAGAATGTGGAGGAATGTAATATTAGTTATATTCACAAGGAAATCAAGTAAGTCACTTAATTATTTAATATTATCACATTCAGTTTTATTTTCCTAAGTGAAAAAACTGGTAGACAACAACAAGACCAAAATACTCACCCAAATGATGCTCGTCGTAGACAGCAAAGGCACTGCTGACAAGGGCAAGGAGGACAAGGCGCAACATGGTGAAACTGGAAAATAATTAATAATTTAAAAGTAACATTCATGCATTGTTTTTCAAAATTTACACTCAAGTTTTGCGGGGCAGAGGTGGTTTTATATTTCAAACCAATCTACTCGACCGTCTCACAAAGCACCTTGGAATTAAGTGACTTGTCAGTTTTACCGGCACGTATTTCTGTGCCAAGTTGAGGTTAGTTTTTGCTTTGGTAATTTTACAAAGGCATTCGATACTATGTGCAACGACACCAATAAGAGTGAAGTAGGCTGATTGAGGTAACGTTCTTTTCCAAACATATAGTAAAAGAGTCCTTATCCTTTCTGGGTAATGTTAGACACCTGTCTATCTCGGTTACTTACCTTGTGGTGTAGGTGATCTCTCTAAGCTGTGAGCAGGGAAGATACTGGACCTCTGAGACGCGGGGGTTTATGTACCGAGAGGGAAACAAATGCACTCTTCACTATCCCATGTCTGAACGAAGGCACAGAACAACTATTCACAACGATGGTTAGAGGCAGGCGTCTGTTCAGCAGGCTTAATCTAGCACTTATCAGTCACGGAGCGTCTCATTAGCAATGTCAATGACAATAAAGCGTTCTTAAATAGAAGAGTCCCATATTAAGATATTCACAGATAATAATTAATTTGTACAACTAGCCGCTTCCTCTGTCCTTTGTTAAAGAAGTTATGACTGTGTCTTTTCTTGCTGGTTTCTTTCGTCTGCTGTCTTTGTGACAGAGAATGGATTGGGATGCACTAAGGGGAATCAAGTTTATTACAATATTAACGAGGGTCTGATAAATACATGAGTCTCCATTGTAATAGGGGACGATTGTGACTTTAAAGATCGTGAAATCTTCTGAATCGTCCAAGATTAGGTTTATGCTATGTTAATTGTATATTACAACCATGCTTTTTTAATATACCTTATGTTTAGCTGCAGATTTTTCTTGCTTTTGCTCTTTTAATTTCTTAAAGGTACCTGTACATACAAACCGAGCATCAGTGAAGTGTGGATTCCCAGTAACGCATCTAAGCTACTTCTACTAGTTTCTTTTACGACTCAAATAAATTTGACATGCCAAGGGATAAATTGAATAGATCACTCGATCAGTCATAAAAGAGCTTTAGACTGCTCCTTTCTTTAAATTTTTGGTCGGAAATTTAACCTACAGTGTACTTTCTTGACCTACTTTTCTGCCCCATTGACATACAGCATAGAATGCTAGCAGAAAAATCCATTCAAACATCATTTTCGGGTAAAATTAACCATGCCTTTTGGTAATTCTCTTAGTTATACTACTTGAAACTATATGCTGCCATTTGGTTGGTTTTTGTGACAAAAAAAATTGACTTTGTATGCATCTTTAACATTCATATTTATAAAGACGTATTTTTTTTTCAGACATCGAAGGAGTAGTAGTAATTTATCAATAGTATGCACCAAATATACCAATATAAAATTTGTATTGATCTGACAATTTGTAAAATAAAAATCCATGTGAAATTAAATCATGACAGCTACCCCCCCCCCCCCCCCGATCACATTTGATTGATTGCGTTTATTGCGACACTAACATAAATTGTGGTAGAGAAGCTAGTCTCGCGAGAAGTTGATACAACGAGAACAGCAACCATCTTGTTCGTTGCGGCTGTAAGTGTTCGTCTACTTTGGTAGCTGGCTTGATTTTCCATCTTGGAAATATGGCCGCACACGGTGATGAATATCTTCCAACGTGGGAAGAAGTGACAGTTCCAGAATTGAAGGTGACATCAATAGCACTTCGGGCGATAGCCACTCAAATGGGAAAATACTGCGATGAACCGTCTAAAGTAAGTTAACATGTACCTCATTTCTCTGTGTGAAGTTGATGTAAAACGTTTCTAGTGAAAAGTTGTAATAATTGTCAAGCCATATTTGTCGTATTTGGCAACAGCTTGATGCCTATAGTGCTGGGTATTTCACCACTGGTACGGAAGTGCATTATTTCGAGAAGCAACCCTGTAGCGTTTTGCGGGAAAATACCCGACTCGACTGGCGATCGAGACAGGGACGCACATTGTTAGTGCTATTCCACTGAGATAGCGAGCCTGGGTCTATACTGGCCATTCACTACAATATTTTTCATTCACGGCATAATCTGCCCAAACACTGGGTCAAACCTTGCTGTCGACAGAAATACAGTTTTTGGAGATGATTTTGAAAATTTTGATTTTTTTCCAGGAATTTATGTTATGTCGTACGGAAACAGGAGATCCCCGAAAATGCCTTAAGGCAGGTCGTGATGTGACTAGGTGTGGGCACGAATTCCTCATCAAAGTGAAAGAACGTTGTGCCAACCAGTTTCAGGAATACACCGACTGTTTAGACTATGTCCCTCATAGGCAACTTAAGTTTTCCTTTTTCGGGTAAGTTTGGTATTTTAAGTCTGTTCCTAAATCTCAATCAACTTGCTTTGATTCGCGTTCAATAAAGATGTTTCTACAATTTTACAACAAGAAGAACATGTAGATATTTTTGTTGAATCAAATATGCTCATCCTATTGCCAAATCTGAAGAAATAATACTTTGTTGGTAGCAGTGACTGCATCTGTTCCATATGTTGCATATATATATACTTCTGTGATATATGTATTTCAGTTGTAAAAAATTGATGAAAGCATTTGACCAGTGTATATTAGAGAACTTCAATCAGACGGCCCCAGAAGTTGGATACTTTTCTCGGGTATGTTGGTTCTGTTTTAAAGCTAGAGCTAGTGTATTCAGAATAGCTGACTAACAAATCCAGTGATCAAATATGGCAACCCACTAGAAAGCTTGCTGCTTAATTTCCAATTAGACAGTGAAAAGATTACCTGCTGGGGTTTACGCAGCTAGCTTTCAAGTGGGTCGGCCATACTTGAATTGTGGATCTGTTAGACTGCGGTTCTGGATGCGCTCTCAGACATCCTTGAAAAATAAGTTGATTTTTACGTCTAGGCATCATATGAGGATACTTTTGCTGTGCATTCATTGTACAAATTCGGAATCCCAACATGATGGTTGACAGTCATATTTTTTATCAAGAAAGAATTAGCTGTCACATTTAAGCTGATTTCCTTGAGATGCCATTTGTTCAGGACTATTCATTTAAAAATTTTTCTCTCTGTGAAGTTGATGTAAAACTCTAAGAGAAAAGTGGCATTTGTTTATTATGCAGTTTATTATTTGGTCAAACAACAATTTCATATAAATCTAATGTATGTGTAGACAGTACTCTTACTTTAACAGTATATTCAACAGGTATTATGTGACTAGCACAGCAATATACATATATAATTATTTGTCTGGACTAGATATATTTTAACAATTTTTTCCCATTTTTTTTTCTGTCCTTTAGGTACGAGTTCAATCTACCAGCCAACCTAGACCTGACCCTCTACAAGGGCAGCCTAAACCATCAGAAGAAATCAGACTAGAGCCAGGGGAGTAATCCAAGACATTCAACAAAATGGATTTTAACTAGTTTAAAGCCCTAATACTAAAGTTCAACATTTTAAAACTCTGTCACAAGTTAGATTTTCATAAGGCATCCTACAGGTTCAGTGGATCTCCGGGATAATTTGTCTGGGGTACGAAGATGACCTACCGGTTGATCGTAAAGGCTGTCTGAGGCAGCCCTGCTGTGTGTTACTGAAAGGATTTTTTTATGCTGCATGTATAAGGATACAGATTGCCCACAGTTATGTTGAAACTACACAAAATTCATTGAAGACTATTTATTTTTTTTCGAGTTTGGAGATTGGCCACAGCATTTTGTGTGATAGCATGTCACTGTCTCTGTCACACAGAGGGAAGTTCTTGGTCTCCTGTGACGCAGAAAAGAAACTCACGTTTTCCAGGTTTTGTTGCAGTCAGAAATCAGAACACTGAACATATTGTGGTGCAACTTTGGAGTGAACTAATTTTCATCTGGAGAAATTGTCGTTGATGATTTTTCATTGTTAGAATAATAAATGGTCAAGTGTGTTTCTTTTTTTTCCTTTCATTTGTTTCATCTCATTTGGCATTTACAACCATGCTGTTGTAAATTTCTTTATTGATACATATTTTATGAGCTTAGAACCATAAAAAAAAAGGCAGTGTTACAACAAAGATAAGTTAACTTTTATAAAGTCATTTATTACATTAGTTTGATCACTTTACAAAATGAGGTACACACGTGATTGAAATATTGTACAACCAGAATTGGAGGAATTTTTACTTGAACATTCATGTACAGTTACAATATAATTACATTGTTAATAATCAATAGGTAACAACCTAGCCACTTCACATATATTTTATCTTAATGTTTAATGAGTCTAATTTGGACTCTTGTACATGCCAGATTACTGCTGCAACAACCTACGTGAATGTCTAATAGCTTTGAATTAAAAAACAATACATACATAAGGTTTTTGGGCTTTCCAGTGTCAAATCCTGAATAATTTGGCGTCTTGAGAATAGGCGAAGAATTTTGTGAAGTTTATACAACATTATCAGACAATAATTAAAACCACTTCAAAGATTATCACTCAAAATGAAGCGTCAATGGCCAGCTGTCTACTACATACTTCATTTCTGTGATAAAATCACTGAAATCTAAAAACAGACAGCTTCAAATTAAAAGATGCAGGCAAATCTTTTAAAAAAATAACCAAGACCCAAAAACCAAGGAAGGCATCAGTCCTTTAAGTAAAAAATAACTTTTGGTCGTCCGTATATTACTGTATAGCGTAACACCCAGCTCCTTTCTATCTACAGGCTATATTATCACACTAATACTATACTGCTTCCCCTACAGCACCAGAAGATGTGTTAAAAATTCAAAATAAAACTGAAAATATAATACACAAATAAATGCTATTACTATCAAAGTTCAAACCTTCTGATACAATATCTTTTCTGCTTTACAAGTACATATATACAATAACGGTATGTCATTGTCAGTTCAGAATGACCATACCTTACAAAAGGATTCTCTTTCTGGCCAAAACTAATAAGAAAACCTTATGTATAGATTTCTGCACAAAAAAATGTGACTGCAAATATGGATTTTTTTTTTCTTTTATGTGATGTCCACATGATAGGGAGAGATTAAGAAGTCATGTTCAGACCATAAAAAGAAAATCTGGTTTAACACATTTCAATATTAATGTGTAAAAGATGCTCACCACAGTAAAATGTGACTTGTACAAAAATGTATTTCTAAAAAACTCAAATCATAATTAACACCACACTGAGCCTATCATATGAGATACGCGGGTATTCAATGCAGAACTAGAAGTCAATGTAGAAGAAATAGATATAATAATTATAATAATGAAAATAATTATAGCATATTGCAGAGAAAGTAAATGATGAAGATAAAAACACTTTTTGTGATCACGAAGCATTTGAAATCAAACAAACCAAATATGCAATGCTCCTTTTGCAACTTATAAAAAATTTGAGACTTGTCTTTGAGTCCATTGATGGGCTTTGTGAACAGGTGAATAGGAATGGTTCAAAAGCTTTGTAACACTGACAAATAAAATCCAAACAAAAGCTTTGCATGCCATAGTAGAGCAAAAGCTTTAAGCAGGTTGTAGTAGCAATATTGTGTTAGAGAAGACAGCACACTAAAACTACTGCACCCTTATATACAGCTTTATTGGAGCTTTCAAAAATTAAATCAAGTTATTTTTAATATGGAAAAAGTTAATTTTAATGTAAAACAATATTGACGAATAAAAACTATATTTTATAAGAATGATATTTCCATGGTCTAACAAAAAGACCCTTTTTTCTTTTCCTTTTTTGCTGATGAACATCACGCACCCTACATGCCTAAAATCCTGATTCATTGAATATATTAATGTGTATAAACGATGTATCAAAAAAAGTTTGCAATTAAGTTACAAAATAAAAAGAAGCCATTACCCATTTTCAGGAACTGTCTACATAATTCTACGAACTTAAATTTTTTAAAACATTTTTATCATTTATTGATTTATCATGACTTTTATAATTTCATATTCCCATTCTTATAATCTAAAGCTACAATATATGTGTAGATATTAAAGAAGCTGATATGTTTTTTAAAATCACGAAATGTACATCATTTTTTTAAACTTTGACATAACTGCCCCCAGATTAAGTGACTCTCTCAAGTCCCATACAGAACAGACGACTAACCAGTCCCAGGGTCAAACATGGTGACCCACTACAAAGCTTGCCATTTAATCCAATTATAGGCATCGAATAGGTATCCCGTGGGGAAGTATTCAAGTGGGTCAGCCATATTTGCCCCTCTGACAAGTTAGTCCCCTATTCTGAATGAGGCCTTCGTTAATATTCTTATAATTTTCAAATGACTGCAAAGCAGAAAATGCACTGCCTGCTGTGAAAATGGCTACATTCCAATGGTAAAACTTGCCACTAGACTAGTAATAAAAACTTATGACCAGGGACATGGCCCATAAGCTTCAAAATGAAAACATCTCAGTACACCTGAGCTTGGCTCTTGCTGGAGTAAGGTACTAGTAATTTATCTTCCAGAGGTGAGAGAGACATTTCATGATTCAGCCTTCGTTTAACACTTGTCTTAGACTACAGTGTAAAACAAAGCCATTTTCCCCTGAACAATTTCATATTATTATAAAGTTAATAAAAGCACAGCAAATAACCAGTTGAAGTTATACAATAAAATTAGTGAGGATGAAACTTTAAAATTTTCACGATAATTCAACAAAAACAGGATCCATTAATCACGTTCCTAAAATCTGGTAAAAAAAAAGTGCTTTAAAATGGAGCAAGTCAACCACCAGTGACCTTGCTGGAAGTTAGTGATATGCCTTTGTGATTCAGATTATGAACATTTTCAAAAATGAAATTTTGCTCCTTTATTTAAAAAAGTGTAATCCATATACAGAAGTTTCTGGGCTAAAAACTACAAAGTTTGCTGCTGTTACAACTTACAATTTACCCAATGCTGCACAACTACTAAATTCTGACATCAAAAGGCATAACTACACCCAACTACACACAGGCATGCACAGGCATGTTGACTATTTTTATCAAAAGCGGTTTAATACTTCAGATAATGACTCGATCTTTTCAATGGGCAAAAATTATCAGACTTTCAGATACATCATTTTAAAATCATAAAAATTGTATATTCTTTACAAAAGCATTTGTGGTGCTTTTAATGCATAAAATAAAACTATAAGGTAGTCTGCAGCTGCTTCCTTTAAATTTTGTACTAACCATAGGAATTAATGCTCTTATTTTAAGAAATTATGACTTAAAAATATGGTATCAGTAAAACTGACATTTTTCCCCATTGACAAGTCATTACCATATATTCTGTTTCAAACTCTTTTTATTTCTGCGTATTCCGTGTTTTCAGGCACTTTGAGTTGTGTTTTGCGTTTGGGTACTGCAGGTTTTCCGTGGATCTGAAGATCGGCATATACAATACCCTCCACATTTTTCTTCAAAGGCTGGAAATAAAAACAGTGTTACATTGTTTACAGAATTTTACATTTCTTCTTGTTATATCTGTCACAATTTTCTACATACAAGCTGATATCACAAAAGAAACCAAAGTTTCACTCTCAATTAGTAACAAATCACATCAACATTTGATCAAACATGCTTCCTCACACCTGACAATTTTATGTTGAAGGGGATTGAAAAGGTCAAGGTTGCCAAATGGTTGGGTAAAGAATGAAATCATTTTCAATGGTTTGTTTCCTATCTAATTATAATTATTATAAGAAGGATTATACATGAAACATTTAAATAATTTGAATTAGCCACTGATAGATAAATCATGTTACGCAGATTTTTAAAAACTTCATATGAAAATGTCCATTTCCAAATCTTGCAATTTAGTGTGGCAAATCAAACACAAAAGGAAATGTTTTTTTTTCTTTACCAATGCATAGTGAAGAGTTATTCACAGTACAAGATAAACCAACTGATAGGAATCAATATAACGGATTATGCAGAGGGCAATAACCATGAAAACATACTTCAATAGATTTCAACATGAATGAAATTTTACACATTTTACACACTTAAATCAAACAGATAAAAGTTTCACACAAACAAACACAATGGCCACCCATTAGTCATAAAAATATATGATTTAGAATACATAAATAAATGACGAATCATGCCCTACTTCTGTCTACACAACAACTACGTGTTAAATAAATATTTTTTTCTGCAAAACCAACTTTTGTTCACAAAAGAGGAAATTACAACTTTTTCAAAAATTAGTTGGTCCATCTGAGACACATCCACAATTTACTTCAAGAAATTCAGTGTTGGTGCAAATGTTAATTTGATTTCAGGACCATTCCCAGACCCTACCTTCTCGCTTAATCACAATCAACTCAAGCAACCTAGATGTCGGTCACGCCTACTGAAGCAGATAGGGAGTAATTAATTATCATTTAGCAGCTTCAGTAGGCGTGCCAGACATCTAAGCCGCTTAAGCTGAAAGCAATTTAACAAGAAACACCTCAGGGATGGATCAGTTCTGTTAGATTGACCTAGGTATGGGAACCCAGTCTTAGATGTAGGTAAATTGGTCTGCCTGTGTCTGTGTGTATGTGAGAGGGCGGAGGATTCAAGATGGCGGACAGTTCATGGTTCTGTCTTTTTTCTGAGAAGCACGTGTGAATGACCATAAAACATTTATCACATACAACGAGATGTCATGCTTACTCTGATGATCACAATAACACACACACACAACAGTGACAACATCAAATATATCACATTGAATATAAACAGTGAAATCATAATAAATAATAATGCTACTGTGTCAAAGAAAATGTTATCCCCAACTAAAAGCCAAGACAACACCAATGGCGGACCTCTTCTCCCTCACCTGCTCTAAGGTCCAGTTTATTTGAGAAAGGGCTAAGAAAATACAAGACATCTTAAGACAAAGCTGTTGTAAAAAGTGGAAAGAAAAAATACAGAGTCGAGACAAGGAGACTTTGTTATTTTTCAACATTATTAGATATATATTGGCCTGGAATGAAAGTCTGTTACAAAAACATGTGAGACATTTACACTTGGTCCCAAAAACATAAAACAGAACATGTTCCTGTTCTCATTTCTGAGCTTTCGATCTAAAACCTACTGTGTTGCCTAGACTGTGCTGGGTTTGCAAACATCTTCATACACGAATTGGAGATGCAAATAATCTTTTACCATTATTATTTTTCTAAACATAAATAATTGATCAATTTCATGCTTCATTTCAGAGAGATAATTGGGCTGGAAGTCCAAATCCCTACTTTCACTTCAGTGCATTTGGTTCAGTTGTAGCTGTCACACCTAACACATTCCCCCTTTGGGCCACCAACTGCTAGCGCCACCTTTAATCTCCTCTTCAATTCCTTGAACAGTAATGTCCCTTTTTAGTGAAACAGTACCACGATTTCTATTTTGACTTCGTACACAACAGGTTAACCATTTTGCCACACCTTGTGTGTACAAACCTACTGAGCTGTGTCTTTCCCTACATTACAGGATATATAGACACCAGGGACTTTTAGTTGAGGGTCTTTTCAATTCTATGATATGAACTAAGGAAATATCTTTGCAAAATATGAAAAAGAAATTATGACGCTGGGACTTTTTCAAACATGGATTGAATACTAGTACTTTAAATTTGTTAGAAAGAAAATGGTTGCAACTTCTAAAAACAAATCTACAGATTGCAATTAATTATTATCATTTTAATTTTTTTGCTCTACATGATAAGGAATGGCACCCACATTAAGTAATTATCAATAATGCACTCTGAGGAGAGAACGGCAATGCAGGTGCATGTTAAAAAAGGACAGTAACGCCACACCTTTAACCTTGTGCCCAGCTTTGATGCACATAGCTCTGGGTCGCATTTCCACTTTACTTGTGACAGTTCAGCTCAGACTACACCAACTATGATAGGAGACCAATCTAACAGTGAGTGACCTATCCAAATGGCACTGGATGCAGCAGGGCAGTGAGGGTGATTCTCATGTTTATAAATCATTATCAAATGATTGAGGACGTCTATACTGAGTTAAAATGTCACAAATTGACTGGAAATGACCCCCAAATAGGCAAGTTTGCCTCGTCATTAATAGCAAAATGCGCTACAAAGACAAGCAAAAAAAAATTAAAAAATAAAATAAATCAGAAGTGGATCCAGGACTTCGAAGGATTTCTTTTCTTTTTTAAAATTCTATACCTCTCTTGTGATGAAGGGTCTACAGGCAGTTGGGGTGGGCAGTGGGCAGAGAAGGCTGAGGACCCCCCCTCCCTCTTCCTAACAGATACCTGGATCAACCCCTGCATGCAATGGCATTACAACAGCAAGGCATGCATTAAGCTAGAACAGCAATGGTTATCATATACCTGATGCTACCTATACGCTGGTTACTGCTGAAATAATGGCGACAATTCGGTTATTTTACTGCTGCAATCACGATGTCTTTTATGTCAATCTTAATCTATCATATGCAAATATAAATATCACATTTTTTTGTTTTGATTCCTAAAAAACAAACAACCTGCACAGACTGCAGTACTAAATATTCAAGAAATTCAATAATATTAAATTTTTTTTCTAAAACTGCAATCAAAAGGGATGAAATTGTATTTAATTATACTCTGAGAACTGTATTTTTGACAATATTTTACTTGACAATGTATAATAAAAACAAATTATTTTATAATGTTTTCGAAAAAAAAATGGATACCCCTGATATTATCTCCATTCTTAGACTGAAAACACAAGAAGTATTATGTATATTGACTTAAACCCAAACTCTTACATCTTTAAACAGCGCTAGAGTGAAAAGCACATAAGAAAAAAGATCATTGATTTTTTTCAGGGAGGAATGGCAAACAGTGTGAGACTGAGGCTTTTATGATCAATGTCAAAATCAAAAGATATCAAATATTCAGACCAACAACTCATCCTCCTTTTATTACTTGGAAGAAAATAATCATAAGAATTTAGAAATGAAATATCAGACAAAACACCTGCAATAAAGGAGTGGCAAAGCAGACAGACATTAGGAATGCACGGTTGAACAGATACACAAGACCCTTCCTGCAAATACTGAAATATTAACACCACCTGAATTTTCCTCGTGACACGTGCACGCCCTCGAGCTCTCTCAGGCATTAACGACACAATATCCCAGAAATCAATTTCAAGGAGCTAGCTCATCCGAGAAAATTCCTAATCAATATCAGATAGGGTCAATTTTGCAAGAGCTGCTGAAGCAAATTAATAAAGATGATGCTAATCCGGCATGCTGCGTTAATGGAAGACCCATTATCAAGGCGTCTTCTGTGATTCTCGTCCACGCAGCACATGCCAGTCCTTAATCAGTAGGATGGGTATTAAATTGGCCCTGAAGGCACAGACATGCAATAGCATAGTAACGCAGGCAGTTAAGTATTTATAACTAATTGAGCTAATTGCAAATCCACTCGGCTCATGTCTTCGGATTTGGCTGCAATTTCGAGATTTCATGATGCTGCGTGGCGACCCCTATCCATGGGCCGGGGCACCTTTACCACCAGTGCATCCTGGGAAGTAGACTGTATCAACCCCATGCTGTTAGTTTATCCATAGTCCTGGACCACATATATAAGCAGAGATTCCAAGATTTTGCTTTCTTTGACTTCAAGTTCAGCTAAAGCGTGCAGTCAATGTAACAAAAGTTATAAGTAAGGGCCCTTCATCTGCATGATCAAGAATACATATATCTGCACACACACAGGGTGGCAATGCTGGTGCGAAAAAAGCCATAATAAGTTTAAGCCCCTCCTCTGTATAATAAACACCATACATGACCCCATTTCTAAGGAGGTGCTAATTAGCGTGTCCAAACTTGACAGCATGTAATATTGATGGAGTGTTATCCCCCTGTGGCTTGCGTGCAGCACACCCTCACATAACGACCCCCGCATGTAATATGCATGACTCTAGGAGACGGCATTTCACGAACTATAGTACTATGTATGAGTTACTACAGAGTGGGCAATAATGAGAGAGGGTCTTAATGAGACAAATGGTCATCCACTGGTGAGCTATTTTCCTGTTAGTCTCTTTAACTCTCTTTTTATTCAATATTTACTTGATTAATAATGTTCAACTTTTCCTTTTTTCATTCTTTACTTTTTCCTTTACTATATACCTCTTTTCATTATTCCTTCACACTAATATGCAAGTTCTTTTTGGGTTACATAAAGGAAAAACTTACTCCTTCCCCCCAAACTTTTGCCACTGTGAGAACACGAACCCTAATTTGCCCACCTTACACCTTCCCATGCCTGATGGCGCCACAGGCACGGAAGTCAACATACTCTTTTTTTCTTGAATATTCTGTTCAGCCAAACCATTCTAGAATTATTGGACGAAATAATAACCAAAATGAAGAGAAACCAATTAGAGGCCTATTCTTAAGTTCATGCTTCAGCATGAAAATGATTCCTTTCCTTTTTTTATCTAGTAGAGAGTTTCCCTGCCATTAGCCAAAGGGGTGGTTGCTGCTCTCTTGTTACCATAAAAATCAATGCAGTTATTTGTGAAAACAGCCAAGATCACCTGCTCCTTTGCCTTGACTAATAAAGTACAGAAAACACTAGACAGAACAAGACAAAGTACATTTTAGTTTTTACCACTTTCAACAAAGATATCCTGAAAGTCCAAATACTATTACTGAAAGAAAACAACAAACAGACAAACAAACAAAAACCTTTAACATCAGTCCTAAAATATGATAGCTGTTTTTAAGATCAGGATTAAAAAAAAAAATTATTGTAGTGTCATTGATAGTGTTATTTTATCAATTAGGAATTTAAATTGCTTAAAAGCAATGTGAAACACCTGTAGGTATAGTGTTATAAACTTACATCATCCTCCTTAGTAAAGTTGCCGTTCTTGTCATCCATATGTTCTGGGCTACTGTAGCCATCATTGGGGGCGCCCTCTGCATCTGGTCTGGAAGTGAAAGTGAAAGGAGATAAACATATGATTTGTGTGCAGACAATTCAAGAAATAATTCATTAAATGACACAACAATTAAGAGAATAAAATGAGATGTCAATGCATTTTTACATTACTTAGGACATTTATCTTTATTGAATAGATTTCAAGAGTATCATTGTGAAGAAACACCCATTTTCTTTTCTTTTAACCTTTATAATGAAAAGCAACATACAAATAAAATACTAATTAAACACAAGTGGGTGATGTAATTTTCTAATGTCAGATGGTTAGATGGTCATATTTGGTGACAGTATTTGACAATGTACATTAATTGAATAAATGATTATTGAGATTCAAAATTAATTTGTTCAGCATTCTGATCCCTCGTCGACTCGATCTGTATTAATTCAAAGTCACAGTCCAGTCGTATACAGTTTTTATTTAACCCCCTCCCCTCACTACTAAAAATCTTCTCTACGCATATTTCCTCGTAATTATAGTATTGTGGTTCTCTTTGATCATCATTAGGGCCTACGCTAACCTTCCCCATCATATACCAAACTATGTGAGTGTGTACAGTGTAAATGTCAGTAATGTGGGGGTAACCTTCTCCACAGAGAGCCTGACATTCAGGCAGGGTCAGGACTACAGGTGGAGCTACTACCTTGTCTTTACTATGGTATTTGGGTGTTGAGAGAGAAAACAGCACCCTGGTCTAAATATACACCTCAGGACAGTGCTGGAAAGTGGTGGTTTTTCAGAAGCTTTGAATGATTTTGTTCATCCCTCGTGTGCAGTGTGAATTTGCAACTATTTACTTTTATTTTCTGATCTAAGGAAAAGGATTTTTAACTTTCGTTTTCTGTTAGTAGTAATCAAAATTTATTTTAGTAGTTTACTTAGAAACATTTAATAAGTAAATATACAAAACAACAGGTTGTGAGTGAAAGTTTTGATCATTTTTGGGACATAGTCTTTTAACCAGTCTGATACACATAATTCATAACCAAAGGCCTAACTAATTAATTAATTAATTAATTACTTCTGACAACAGGGCCAAATATAGTGTTGGGATGCTCATGTTACAACTTGTTGGGGAGACTTGGAAAAGAAATCAATTTAACAGGTGTATTAAAAATACACACAATTTTCTGGGTTATCAATAAACACGCTGATTTTCAAGTTAAAAGTGACAACATGAAATGGAAATTGCATGACAACATGGTCTGAAAACCAAACATCATGGAAGGTGATTAAGCATGCACCACTGCACACCATCTGCAAATAAAAGCACGAAGACACGGAAAAAAGTTGTTTACTGATCACCGAAGTCTTTGATTTTTTTTATACAATCAACCAAAATAAACATAATTATCTTAGGGTTGGGCACAAAATAAATAACCAAAGTGATATATTTACTTAAACTTTCAATAACAATTCAAATCAAACATGAGAAAAAAATATGAATAAAAACGGAGGAGAAACATACACAGAAATCATGGTGATGAATAATACGGTTGTCCAAAAACTGATAATACGTAGAAATGTTGTGATGAATTCATTCTGGGCCATTCCATAGTAGTCTTGAAGAAGTATCATGGAATGGCCCTATAACAAATAATCTAAGATACCATACCTATCTTTGAATACACAGGCTTCATAGGTAGCCTGCTCCTGTGCATGTCTTAATACAAATTGGATAAAAATCACAATGAAAATATGATACAATCTTTGGTAAAATGTTAAATATTATGCAAAAAAACTATTTCTATAAACCAAATTTAATCTCGTAGTCCATGGTACTTAAAATACATATCACCTACCAAAAGACCCATCTTGATTTTCTTTTTTATGAAATGGGCATGATAGCTGCTGCTGGGAAAGCTAGCTAAATATAAAGCTTAAGCATGCAAATTTGTTTTCTGGATAGAAAAACTTACCAGAATCTTACCAAATCTGTTGAACTTCAGATATTAAATAGCAATATAATCCATACAAACAATTATCAGAATGTCTCTTTTTGTCAATGAAGTTCCTTAAAAATGATCATGCAGCTAGTGTAACTATTAAGTCTAAGGCTCCATTCACATTTATACCTTCCAAGCTGTCACATCTAACGCAATTTCACATCCAATGCAATGTCACATCCAACGCAATGACACATCCAACACAATGTCACATCCAATGCAATGTCACATCCAACACAATGTCACATCCAACAATGTCACACCTAACTCAATGCCATCTCTATATTGTTTCTGCAGAATTGTAGTATTCTCCAAGGAATCTTAATAATCTAATGCAAAATAATGCAAGCAATAAATCTGATAAACAAAGCTCATTTGAAGGGGCCCCTTCAATGTGTATTATGCTACTGCTTTTGTTAAGGATAGTCAAACGCCATACTTTGTCATTATAAAAAAGCCTGTTATCTGTGCCAACAGAGACAGTCTGCCAGGTCAGTGTCATACAAATTTGACACTCCTTGTGACTGGTAAAAGGCATATGGTGCAATAGGCAAATGTGTTGGCTAGGTTGCAATCAGCTGACTATTCAGGTATTCAGCGGGGGATAGATTATTACCTGAACCACTTAGCGAGCACTTTCAAAGCTCAGCAATGCCTGGGGTATCTTAATAGCAACTTTGGCTCAGGCCAGAAAGCTTGTATTTTGTGACAAATATTTGCATTGATTGAAATGATTTGTACTACCAAATTACTGTAGTAAAGAAATCAGGTGAAAAATAACAGCAGCTACTTATTAATACCAATATGAAAGAGGTTATAGCACAGTGTCAACATCTGGTTAAAACATAAGATTCTGAAGCAGAGATAGCTCAATCACTGAAAAATAGAATCATAAACTACCAGAAGGTAACGCCAAACACACATATTAGTAGTTTTAATAACCCATAGCAGGATGCAAGGGAGGATAAAAATGTAACCAAAAAGGAAAACATCAAAAATATCAACTAAATGACAATACTTGATGCCTTTTTTTTTAATTGATTATTCTACCAGAAGAAAAACTGGTCAAGTTCTCTCCTGGTTTTCACCAGTACTAGGCAAATAAAAATGCCAAGACCACTAAACATTTTCTTATATTTTCTCCCTCCTCCCCTCCCTCTCCCCCACCCCCACCCCACCCCACCCCCAGCAGACATAAACAAGCCATTGCAGTGGGCTGTTGCAGATGCAGGGAAATGTTGAACCTTGTAGAGAGGGTGTCTGTCAATCAAGATTGTAAAAAAGAAAAAGGTTAAGGAAGAACAATTGAATAAGAACTCTACTTACACAAGGGAGTAGGTATGCCCACTATCAGTGTGAGGACTGAAAGAAGCAACAAACCCCAAGTCATTAGCAAATTATATAATACACAACAAAAACAAAATACAGAGACGCATTTCATTATTTCTTTTTTAATCCCACACGACTAATATTTGTTGCTAAACCAAAAGGGAAAAGCTGATGTAATATATAATGTTTGTTTTTACTTCAACAAAGCAATTGTACACCTGTTAGAAATATAAACAGAATGAAGCCATACAATACACTGCTGTACACATATTTAGATATCACACAATATGGAAAGTTTGGGTTTCTATTTTGGTTTCACTTTCACATCTTGAATGTAAGTGTAGGTGAAAATTCTCCCTATCCCCCTTTTTTTTCATTTTCCTGTCTCGGTCACCTTAGACCCCATTTCCAGAGATAAGATCGATCTACTTAAGATCGACCTAACTCCCTAGGGGTTCACGCTAAATAGCTGTCAGCCGAACGGGCACGAAAGTTAATTACCCCCTTCCAGTTTGTAGTAGGCGTGACGGACATTTAAGCCGGATTATCTGACAGTAATCTAGTGAGACTCCCCGCGGGGATAGATCGATCTAAAAGCTCTGTGAATACTCCCTTAGTCCCATACCAAAAAGGACCGTCCCCCCCCCCCAAGCCTTCACCATACACATGCATGATATTTAGTACTACTCATGCATAAATAATGATGAAAATTAAAGAAGGACAGATACAAATGTTAGTAGGATTAGTATTAAATGTCAGGACGGCACCTGGGGGTTTTCTTTACTTCATTCTAGAACATTTTCTCCACATCTGCATTCTGTTTTGCCTTTTACCTTCACAGATATTTGCAATTGTATCAATAATTCACTACCGAGTCATCAGAATATAATTTCAGTAACTTGGTCTCATCATTCAAGGAAGAGAAATGTTCTGGACTCGTACTACGTACTAGAAGTACTAAATGATTTAATAGCTCAAGTAGATTTCTTTGCAAGATTGCTTGACTATGTTGTAGCTGTAACAGTTCCAGTATTTGCACAACTGGTTTTAGATACACACACACACAAACACACACAGCCAATTAATTAACTTAATAACATAGTAGAAAGTGTACTTGTTGAAAACTTGTGAAAGGAGTAACACCCCCTGTGGCGTAATGACATGTTAGAGCCTGTCAAAGTTGACCCCTCTCTGCTAAAGTGAATGACACGCTGTGAAACTAAGGGACCATTCTCAGACCTAGATCGATCTAGCAGGATCGACCCACCTCTGAGGAGATTCTCAATAAATTGCATTAGACTTAAACGGCTTAGATGTCTGGCATTCCTACTGAAGCTGCTAAACAATAGTTTTTTACCCCTTACAGTGTCAGTAGGCATGCCAGACATCAGAGCCACTTAAGTTGAATGCAATTTAGCAAGAAACCCCTCGGGGATGGGCCGATCCTGCTAGATCAACCTAGGTATGGGAATGGAGTCATAGAAACAATGACTAAAACAGATCACACAAAAGATAGACACGAGTTTTCACTTCGGCCAGATACTATTTTCAGTATCAATAAAGCACACTTTGCTTTTTATTAATAATAAAATATACATCTGTCCCACCTGTAAAAATTTCCTATTGACTCAGAGATTCTATCAATAACAATTCTTACGCTTTCACTGTGTACTTTTTGTTGGAAACTAGACGGTTTATTAATAATTTCTACATGAGATAGTTGGTATTTTTCTGGTCTCCAGTCTGGCTAGGAATTCCCCTCCAGCTATGTGTACAATGTGATGTGTGCATGACCTTGCATTTTCTCTGTGATTACAAGCATGGTGTAAATAAACACTATAGCTTCCGCAGCACAGAAAGATAAATAGTGGAAATTCATATTGCTTTCTCTCTTTTTCTTTCTCTCTCTCTCTTTCTTTTTTCAGTGGCTCGCCCACATAAAGATTTACCTCAACAGTTAACGGATGAGTCACAAAAAATAAGATGGCTTTTTTTTAAGTTAATAACTTGCACATTTAACTGCAAGAATAATGTTCTATTCACCTTCATAGATTCTCACTTTCAGAAGGTAGCAAGACTGAACCAGGGCTCCGCAAGATCTCTGAACAGCCATTTGTAGATCTGGAAAACTACTTGCTCCTGTCCAAAATCACCTTTAAAACTATGTGTGTGTGTGTGTGTGTGAGGGGGTATGTGTGTGTGTGTGTGGGGGGGTGGGGGGGGGGGGGGGGGAAGGCTAAGGATGCCAGGCGATAAGTACTAGTAATCTACATAAATTACTTGCATTTGCAGGCAACTTTGACTTAGTAAGTAAATTCTCTATGACAGGAGTGGCTTCAGAGATCATTTCCCCGGGCAAGTAATGATAACATCAGTGGCAAACAGTCTATTTTATCTCAGGTGTCATCTCCTTGTGAACAGTAAACAACCACTGGGAGAGCTGCTTATAGTTTTTGATTAATCCAAAAAGTATGTGTATCCATTACCTATGGTTATTCCTCTCTCTCTCTCTCTTTCTCTCTCTCTCTCTCTCTCTCTCTCTCTCTCACACACACGCACACACACACACACACACACACACAGAAGTAATTTTTGCATGCAGCAGGCTTTTTGTATCTTTGTATGTCTGCATATCTTTCATAATGATCTTTTTTCAAGTGATGCCTGCCATATATATGTATGTGTTATTTCTATTATTGCCACTCCTCAGTATTTCACCATCTAAACACACCTGGGTATTCTGACATTCAATAAGCAAGGTCTTGTCTTTTGTGAACTCCTGGACCCTATCCACTTCTATCTCTTTTCACTTCAACTCGCTGTGTCTATTCTTAACTTAAACAAAACATTTAGTTATTTTTTACAGACCCTTTGAAGGCAGACTTCCTTCAACCAGGTGCTTCCCTACCACTGGTACCGAGTACCTGTGCTTTAATGGGTAAACAACTGCCTCTTAAGAGACCACTTCTCTGAGCAGGTGCCTGTTTTTGCAGATAACATTTAAAATGTTTACAAAAACAAAATGCAACAGAAGCAATGTTTGGGTGGTAAAGGCATATATCCTAGGGTGTAACTTTCATGTGTTTTTTTTTATCTGATCACACCTCCAACTTTCACACCCGTGATCTTTTTTTTTTTTGATAAAAGTAGTGTGCATCACTACACCAGGGGAGATCTGACATAGATAAGGATCACTGCGAATATAAAACCAGTGGCAGGTAAGTTGCCACATGTTAACACACCCTGGTAGACTAAATAGAACACTTTGAAGTCAACCACTACAAGGTGATATTTTTAATCTTAGCACCTGGAGCAAAAAAAAACATAATTATTACATTAGAATCCAACCACAGCATGAAGTTTTTATCTCAACATCTGAACGTGTTAAAATAATAAATAAATAGCCTAAAATAAAGTGTTTTCCAAACTGTACATATTAGGCACCGACTCCGAGATGGTTGGTACTTCTGTTGTGGAATGATACAAATCTCTTACCCTGCAAGGGGCTACACAGTTTTTTTTATATTGCACAGTTTTATATTTATTGCACTGAGATAAAATGTTTTCTTTTTTTATGGAGAGTAACTATATATAAAGCAATATGACATTCCAGACAGCTGATGCAGAATGTTTCATTTTCAGTTTCGTGTTGATATATGAAAAAATGAGACCTATTTAAACTTTGTGAGATATTCCAAAATGACAGAGAACAATGAAGTAAATCTTTTGAAAGTGGGTGTTTGATATTTTTGAAAACGAAAGTTTACTCATTATCTCAAGATGGTGAGTCAGGGCCTGAGTCCTAACTTTAGAAAACAATACCAGTGTTTTATTTTACAAACTCCATGAAGTGTGACAGCAAGGTGTAAAGAAAACTTCCGCGTGACATGTCAAAAACCCAAGCTTTGTCTTCAGGGTGTGAAGTTACTGCACTGCAGGCAAGAAAATGACTGCCGCGTTAGGAACATTGATTGTTCTTTGTTCCTCCTTTATTAAGAGACTTTATTACCAGCTGTCTTATTACAAATGTTCTGTTATATCACTCACTGTTCTCTGCTTATTGATTGGATCCATGTCCATATTAATAAAGCATGGATTTAAAGGTATGGCAGATGTCATGCTTAGGTTTACTGTCCCGTTTTCTCTCAGACAAATACGCCATTGCATAGGGAACAATTAAAGGTCCTCGCTTCATAATGAAATCTAGAAACTTTCAGCTCTGATTTCTTTTTGCTACTCGCTAGGCAAACAGTCACTTCGTTTACTTCATAGATCTGTTTTTCCTAAAACACACAGTCTCGTCAATATGCCATTCTTAGAAAAAATAAAAATAGACAGGCTCTCTTTTTATCTGAAGAAATATCAATAAATTCAGAGCCAATATTTAAGATCTTTTTAAAAAATTCTAGAAAGCTAACAAAGTTAAACAATACAGAAACTTTTGTGGTAAATATTTTTTCCTGACAAACTGTGATCTTTTAATGAATATTTCATTTCAATCGTTCTTTTTTCTTCTTCTTTTTTCATCCTATCGCAAATCTGAGGAAATAAAGTTTACATTACCAGGAAAAACATACTAAAGACATTAAAAATTGACAGATCCTCTACCAAACACTACCTTCAGTTAGAGTGACCCTGATACAACTTAAACAGAAAGTTTTTTTGCCTTTTTTTTTTGCAAAAATAAAATCAAACAACTATCCACCAAGTTAGCCTCCTATCTTAAAATAATACTTCACACATTCTATAGTAATTTTAATCTGATATTAACCATCTTACAAGTTGCTAAATACCCCGTGTAGTGAATACTGAAGGTAAAACACGCACATACACACGCACACAATGTACAGACAAAATAATTAACAGAGACTGACGCACATGTACAGCAACATTCACACCCTGAACATATCATATACTAGTGCTAGTTTGATATATATACTACAACACAAGCCACAACTCACCAATATTTTAATTACTCAATCTTTACAATGGGCAAAAAATTTCAAACATTCAGATACATAATTTTAAGATCACAAACATTTTTTTTGCTTTATTTTTAAATTTTGTTCCTACCACTCAACAGAAATGTTCTAATTTAATATTTTATTACTTCAAAAACAAAGTATCTGTGAAATTCACAATTTTCCCCAATTGAAAAGATCGCGTAATTACCATACTCTACCAGGTGTCTTAACTCAATACACTGTGACAACTCTTATATACAGCTCAGACTTACCTAACATTGGAACGGCTGGTCTCTGAAACATGAAACAAAATAAATTAATAATAAATTAATAGACAGCATTGTTCTCACGTAGAATTATGACACAAAACAGACTATTAAAATTAAGTAGGCAGTAAAGCTGGCAAATATACAGACATCATCTAACGTCAGTTACCACATACGATTATCATATAAAATATAAAGTTTTTGTTTGGAAAAGTCAATAGTTTTTATCTTTTGTATAATATCTTCCTATTTTCAAAGGCCTTCTAGCATGACTTCAAGATGAATGATTTCTTTAAGCACATAAGTTACTATTTATATAAAAATTTTTGGAAAAAAAAAATCCAATGGTAAATGACTCCTACTGTGATGCACTCATACACTTCCTAAAACAGTACAATACACTTTTTATTTTCTCTGGGAAATTCCCCATTAAAGATAAAATGCTTCTTTGAAGTGAAAGTGCCATTGTGTCAATTTATACCATTACAAGGACCTTAACCATTACAGTCAACAGGGACAAAGAAAAATTGCTATAATTCTGCCTGGAAGCTAGAAAGTAGGGACAATAGGTGCTAGTAACCTAAAACTTAAGTCACTAAATGACTCAATGCACTTGATAGGCATTTATTAAGTGTTACATCACACACAAAATACTGTTTTGAGAAATTTACTGGGACATATCCCACCTGGAATCACATTAACATAAATGGTGTGTTTGATGAAAATCCATACCAGGAATCGAATTATCATGCATCACTTCATTTCTCATTCATCATTTATCTCGGGGACAAACTTTAATTTGCTAATGTGTCTGTGACTTGGGATGATCAGTGGACTGATCATGTTTCACTCTTTGTGATGAACTGCCCCAGGATATCAACAATGTTAGGGACTTTAGTCTGACACAAACTAGGTCTACAACTTAATGAATTACAAGAGTTTTAAAAGGCTGTTTAAATCCCAGAAGCTTGGAGTGACAAAAATTGAAATGGAATATCATTTCATCTCAGTTTTGGAAGGAATATTCTTTGCATTTTCACTTTGGTTGGATTTTTCTCCCCAATTTTGACAGGAATACTTATTTCATTATTCCAAAGGGATGTGTCATATTTTAGTTAGTACATAAGGCATCCAAGCTCTCTATACTTAAGAATCAAATAGGACAGCTGTATGTATAAACAATGAATAAGAAGACAAAGTTTCTTTAAAAGATGTTGATTAAAGTAAAATACGACAAGTAATTAGCTACAAATGGACCAAAGATAAAAAAGTTTAACAGAGCACTGTCTGGGTGTACACAAGCTTTATTTTGGTATACATTAAAAACAGTTACTAGTAATATTTTACTGAGAAATTTTCAAAAATAAGAAAAAAAATTCAGTTTGATATAATAATTGTTTCCATGATTAAAATAAATCTCCGTGAACATCCTAACCAGATTTAAATATANACAATGGGCAAAAAATTTCAAACATTCAGATACATAATTTTAAGATCACAAACTTTTTTTTTGCTTTATTTTTAAATTTTGTTCCTACCACTCAACAGAAATGTTCTAATTTAATATTTTATTACTTCAAAAACAAAGTATCTGTGAAATTCACAATTTTCCCCAATTGAAAAGATCGCGTAATTACCATACTCTACCAGGTGTCTTAACTCAATACACTGTGACAACTCTTATATACAGCTCAGACTTACCTAACATTGGAACGGCTGGTCTCTGAAACATGAAACAAAATAAATTAATAATAAATTAATAGACAGCATTGTTCTCACGTAGAATTATGACACAAAACAGACTATTAAAATTAAGTAGGCAGTAAAGCTGGCAAATATACAGACATCATCTGACGTCAGTTACCACATACGATTATCATATAAAATATAAAGTTTTTGTTTGGAAAAGTCAATAGTTTTTATCTTTTGTATAATATCTTCCTATTTTCAAAGGCCTTCTAGCATGACTTCAAGATGAATGATTTCTTTAAGCACATAAGTTACTATTTATATAAAAATTTTTGGAAAAAAAAAAATCCAATGGTAAATGACTCCTACTGTGATGCACTCATACACTTCCTAAAACAGTACAATACACTTTTTATTTTCTCTGGGAAATTCCCCATTAAAGATAAAATGCTTCTTTGAAGTGAAAGTGCCATTGTGTCAATTTATACCATTACAAGGACCTTAACCATTACAGTCAACAGGGACAAAGAAAAATTGCTATAATTCTGCCTGGAAGCTAGAAAGTAGGGACAATAGGTGCTAGTAACCTAAAACTTAAGTCACTAAATGACTCAATGCACTTGATAGGCATTTATTAAGTGTTACATCACACACAAAATACTGTTTTGAGAAATTTACTGGGACATATCCCACCTGGAATCACATTAACATAAATGGTGTGTTTGATGAAAATCCATACCAGGAATCGAATTATCATGCATCACTTCATTTCTCATTCATCATTTATCTCGGGGACAAACTTTAATTTGCTAATGTGTCTGTGACTTGGGATGATCAGTGGACTGATCATGTTTCACTCTTTGTGATGAACTGCCCCAGGATATCAACAATGTTAGGGACTTTAGTCTGACACAAACTAGGTCTACAACTTAATGAATTACAAGAGTTTTAAAAGGCTGTTTAAATCCCAGAAGCTTGGAGTGACAAAAATTGAAATGGAATATCATTTCATCTCAGTTTTGGAAGGAATATTCTTTGCATTTTCACTTTGGTTGGATTTTTCTCCCCAATTTTGACAGGAATACTTATTTCATTATTCCAAAGGGATGTGTCATATTTTAGTTAGTACATAAGGCATCCAAGCTCTCTATACTTAAGAATCAAATAGGACAGCTGTATGTATAAACAATGAATAAGAAGACAAAGTTTCTTTAAAAGATGTTGATTAAAGTAAAATACGACAAGTAATTAGCTACAAATGGACCAAAGATAAAAAAGTTTAACAGAGCACTGTCTGGGTGTACACAAGCTTTATTTTGGTATACATTAAAAACAGTTACTAGTAATATTTTACTGAGAAATTTTCAAAAATAAGAAAAAAAATTCAGTTTGATATAATAATTGTTTCCATGATTAAAATAAATCTCCGTGAACATCCTAACCAGATTTAAATATACATATATTTTGAAATTAAAAAAATTAGCGTACCAATAAAAAATGTTTTTTTACCTTTTTCTTCATCCCTTGTTTTGTGTTTCTTCTTGACACAGTAAGTGTAGGTGACACAAGCCAAGACAATAATCACAATGGCCCCCAGGATGGCCCCTATTATCCCCCCTATGGCCTCTCCAGATAGACCCCCCACTGTGGATCTAGTAGTTGGTGCTGAAATGAAGAAAAAATTGTGGGTAATCAAGTCAACAAAAGCAGCATTTCAAATACAAAGAAAAAAACTTTTGTAAACAAAATCCAGGTGTGTTGATTTTAAAAAAAGTGACTCCCTTTCATATCAAAAAAGGAACTCAGCAGTAAAGTGTCAGAAGTGGTAAAATTATTTCTACTTACATGACAGTGTAATTCTCAAGACCTTGCTTGGTGGATCATTCAACTGGTTCAAAATGTTACTGGCCTGACACTCATAGTATCCAGGCTTCTGAATGTTATTCAGGTTAAGAACAGACGAGTTATCACGATTTCCGCTTCGTGCTTCTCTGGTGTTGGATAGCTCTTCTCGATAAAACCACTTGAAGTTAGGTTGAGGGTCACCAGTGGCTGAGCAAATGAGAGTGATGGCTGAACCTTTGACAAACTCCACACTGCCCATTGCTGAGTCTATGATGGGGAGGGCACCTGTGGTGGTATAGGTGATCTCAGGGTTGCTGGCAGCAGCTGAAATATTGTCATGTTATTGTATCACAGTGTACAAGATTTTTGTCTAAAGTGAGGCATATCTGGACTTTGGCCAGGACATAAATTTTTGCCGATTTTTAAAAAGCTTTGGTAGAACTATCCACTATTAACTGGCACAATCATTATGATAAATAAATGGTCGGGACAATCAAAATCACCATCAAGCTGGTGTGGTACATACATACATACATATCAAAACTTAACTCCTTCCAGGGTTGAATTTATTTTAGCCAAATTACTGGATAATGTCAGTAAAATCAAAAGTCAAAACTTATTCAATGCTAAATTTCCTGAAGGAGGTACCATTTTCCCCATTTTCTTTCTGAATCATTGTAAACCAATTAGAATTTTAATTTAAAGCTTTTCACTAGAATTATGTTAGCATGAGTACAGTACTGCAGCAAAATTCTTTCCTTGATGTACTTAACTGATTTCTGTTGATTTTTACTTACTCAGTGACACACTGGCCGACTTCTGTCCAATCATACATGTAAACTGTGCACCATCATCAGAGGCCGAGACATCTACTCTTAGCTCACTCTGTCCATTATATGTGCAACCATCACCATTCAGGACAGGGTCACTTGACTGAGCCTCTGAGGTCCTATTTTGTTGCTGACCGTTCAGAGTCCGGTACCATGTGATCCCCTTGGCTGGACGTCCAAGCTGACCAGAACACATGAACTTTGTTGACCCCTGGTCATTTAATTGCTGGGTGGTCAAGACAGGGTTTTCACTGGGCTCCACTGGAATATAAACACATATCTGCTTACACTAGCTATAGTACATTGTAATTGAATGTATGAAAAAATAACAATCAAAACCAAGAATATTGTACACAAACCATACAGACATCTGCAAAAGCTGCATTAAAATACAATAATTGAAATTTTTGTGAATTACTGTTGTCTAAAGGTAAAAGCAGACATATATTTTTGTGTAATTTCTAAAAACTTGATTAATTCAGAAAAAAAATTGAATTTTGATTTTTCTCCACAAGATATTCAGTATATATTCATGTTGATCTTTATTTTCTCATGACAAAGCACAAATTTAAAATAATCCTCAATCCTCCCAGTTCAATTCAATTAGAAAGAAGTTAATATTATAATTTAATGAAAACAAAAAAGATCCAACATTCAATTTTAACACACACGCTGGATGCTGCACCCCCTTACACACACACACACACACACACACACACACACAGACACTCTCTCTCTCACACACACACACACACACACACACGCAAATACACACACACACACGCACTTGTAGGTTTACTAGTACGCCTGTATCTGTTCACCTTGTATGACACTTAGATATCTAGTTACCTGGAATACAGGTGTGCTCCCCAGGGGGTTATCTCAGACCAAGAATAATATTTATTATACACTTCATCAGCTCCCTAAATATGGCACTTCTTACATGTCTTAACCAAAAATCTGATTAGAATATATCTGAAGTTACAGTTGATGCCAAAATTTTTAGGATCTTTTCCCTGATCGTAAACTAGGAAAGTGAAACAACTGAAGTTTGTTCCTGCTTCCTGGTGTTGTGTGTCACAACTAATGTTTTATATCTGGTTGTATGATTACTACCCACATGTATATGATATCCACTACCTCTGTAGCTAGGGTTAAGACTATAGCTAGTATGTCAAACTTCTAGTTTATTTGGCTAAAAAACGTACAGGAAGGCTAATCAAAAATGTCTGAAAAATCTATCAATGTTCTAACTCAATTTTTAATCTTAAAAGTTACTTGGATATAAATAAAGTTACGTGGAAACACTAGCAATAATGCAACCAATGAAACATTCTTGTATTAAGCATGTTATGGCACTATTGTACAGCAAGAGGTTGATATCTACATTTTTCCACTCACTTTGGCATGGAGTTTTTGACCAAATGCTCTGAAAATTCTTTGACTTTTTTTAAAAATAAAACTGTAAAATTTTCATCTGTCTTTGCACTGATTTAAGTACTAGTAAAAGCATAATTTGATTCAAAGCATCTCTGTAGTCAGTACTTGACTAAAAAATCTTTCAGTGCATTCAGTGACAGTCTGTAATTTTATATAATTTACCAATATTTTATGAACGTAGCAGTTATATAGCCAACATTATTCATACACCTCGTATTGAAACAGTTGAAAAACAAAATTAATCCAAATATAAAGTGTTTTGTTTCATGCTGAGTCACTTGCCTTTTCAAAATTAACTGGAAAGGCCAAAGTTATGCTGATAATGCAGGTAGATTTTTAATAAGACAAACTGAAAATGTGAAAATGTCTGTTGTTTTTAATGTTTAGCATATATCCTGCTTAGTAACTTACTATGGTAGTACAAGTATCTTCTTGAGTGAAAGGAAATTATTAATAATTTTTTTATTCATTTATTATTTTCCAGGAAAAAAATTTGCAACCAAAAGTTCTTGGAACTGTGCAACTGAGTGCATATTGATCAGATCAGTGAAAACAAATGAATGTCATAATCAGACAAATGGTATTGCTTCAGATCAGGTGAGACATGTTTGCTTTTATAACTCTATCAATACAGCATTTGATCATAGCCTCACATCCATCACTGTCCTTCTCACTGACACACAGACCATGGCGTTTAGAACACTATTACTAGTACACCGCCTTAGTGGGGTACTAGTAGGTATAATATTTATATTTATAAATAAATAAATAATGTACAGTAATGTGTAATTTTTCACTCAACATGATGTTACATCCACAGACAGGGGTTGTCCCAGGATTTGGGGTAAAGGGAGTCTAAAATGTAAATCTGTAATTTGGTCATTGATTTACAGGGAACTCACCCAACCCAAGCAAGCCCAACCAAATGACCCATCATTTACCAAAAAATTTTGCAAGCTGTCCAGTCGTCTTTGGAAAAGTAGGCCATCTGACAGCTGGAAGACTTGTCCACAGACAAATACTGTATGCACTATAGGGTTGTTTCAAAACCCATTTCTGCAATATAGGCCTATACCAAAATATTTTCAGAAAAAAAAAGAAAGAAAGAAAGAAAGAAGGAAATGATATATAAATAAAAAAATCATGATTAATTACCTTTTATCATTAGCTGTTTTGAATAGGTCTCCTCTGGTGCTCCTATCACATCCACTTCACACGTATACTCTCCCTCATCTCCTGGACATTGTGTCTGCTGGATATTTAGTGTGGTAGTTTTGGTACTTGCCGACAATGTCCCAGATAGTCTGGCCTTATCAGGGCCAAAGCTAAACTGTTGACCATTTGAATATTGTTTAAGGATATTTTCATCTCCCTTAAACCAGCTTGCAGCATTTAATGTTCCTGATGCTGTATATGTACACTGTAATGTTGTTGTTTCTCCAGGTACACCAAATACTGTAGTCTGTGATACAGCTCCAGAAACTAGAACTACAGAAGGTATATAATCATAAATGAAATATTACAGTGTTATTCTAGACATGGGATCTTTAAAATATGCTATTTAACACACACACACACATATATATATATATATATATATATATATATATATATATATATATATACTGTAGTCCTAACAGAAACTGCACATGGTAATAATTATTTTAATAATACTAATTTCATAATACTTATATTATTATGTAATACTAGTAATATTAATATCTACAATGTCTTACAAAAACATACTACACGAACATAATTATCAATTGCGATACAAATCCATATGAATTCTAATGTCTCTACAAGTGTAATTTTACTAATAATGGACGGGCTTCAACATATATATAATACTCCAGCGGAATTAAGCGAATACGTTCTTCTTAAAAGATTAAATACTTCACTTTTCCCAATTTGAAAAGATGACGTTAATAAGAAATGTAACATCCATTCTTGCGTGTACATTTACCCTAACTCACCTGCTAACAGCAACATTGCAATATCCAACAACGGTTTAAAATTGAATTTAGATCGTCTTGATGATAAACAAACCGCCATTTGTCAACAGGAGTGTCGTCTACAAATTAACAAATAAAATTAAGTTTGATCAGTTCACAACTCCCAAAACAGTAAAGTATTTCCAAGTATAATGTTTACTAGTTCCAGCATAAGTGAAAGATCCTGTTAGTCGTTTAACTGTTGGGAGTAGTTCAATTCACACGGAAATAGAAACATTGTGACCTAACTTCAACCTATTCTAGGGGGCGCTAAAGGTAAGGCAAGCTAGACAGACACTTCATGAGTTCCAGCAATGGTATATTTTTTTCATAGCTTACTTTCTTGCATTTTACTAGTGTTTTAGGTTTCATTGGTGATTTGTATGAATTTTTCACAATTATTTAATCAGTTTGGGGTCTGTCTCTTCTTGGAAAAAAGTACATTTCCGCCCAGAGGGTTTCAAAGACGCCTGGTATGATGTGTTAATTTAATCAAATACATTTGCTCGTCAAATTTAGTAGTCAATTAAGCCTACAAAACTAAATATCAGTGATTACTTTTTATGCTTCTCAAAAGTCTACATCACATATGAAACAGCATGGGCAGAATAGTCCACTTACAATAATAATTCCAGTTAATTAATAAAAAGCTGCATACATGGCCCATCTCCATACCAGGAATATTTTTTGAAAATTGCAGAACCATTCCAATTTGTACTAGACTAAGTGTGTGTGTCATGACATGTATACCATGCTGAATAAAAAACAATTTGGAATTGTATGTACAAGTATATATGTATCGATCAACAATAAAAAGGACAATCAAAGAAATTATAACTATTAAAGCACAATACTTTCTTATTAAATATTATCATTTTATTTGTAAAATAGTAAAAGCTTCTAAAAATATCAAATATTCATGAGAAGCAGGAAGAGCAGAGCTGAAGTTTGGCACGTGCGACAATAATTTATCGCTGGATGATAACATTAGGCAATTAATATACACAATGGTGCAGCTTGTTACAGATATAAATAGTGTAAAAATCTAATAATAATTTTATACTGGAATTTAGCCGCTCTTAATTGCTCTGTTTCATGAACCCATTATACCAATATATACTTTGCTTAATTTATTTTTGAGAAACCAGAACTGACTGTCAAAACAAGGAAAATGGATCTAAATGTTATTGGCTTTTCATTCAATCAAAACATTTTTACATTAATTTTAGCTGCAATAAACCCTCAGATTTTTATAGTTTTCAATCATTATTCCAATTACCATATATATAGTCTCTATATATTGCATTTTCTCTATAATGACATCAAGGGGGTTTCTTTGGGTCAGTTTGAGCTGACTCCCATTGTCAGCCAGGGTCACACAACAAGCATTCTAATTGGGTCATCAATATTTGATCTGCGGTTGGCAGATCTGTTAGTTCCCAGTTCCGAATGCTCTATTTTGTCACTTATAACCTTTCTATAGCATAAGCCATATACAGTGCATTTGGTTGCTATGTACGTGTCACAAATGGCACTGCTACTAGATCCTGTCCCCGTGTGGACATTTCAAACCTGTTTTGGCAGAATGGATATTATGCTTTAAATGCATGTATATATTCACTATGGCTATTTCGTTAAACACAAAAAATACTGGCCAAAGCTGCAATGTATACTAATGCCGAAGTGAGACCACATGTATTTGAAATATTCTTCAACATTTTTCTTCTGCATTGTACTTGTCCATGTCCTCGTACAGTTTCTCCTCAAACTTCCCCAGAGTAAGAACATCACTGTCAGAGGCCAGGAGGACATCCAAGGAGTTAACAATGTCTTTGAATGTTGACCTTGAACTTGGGACTTCTTCCCAGCAGGACAACATGATGATGTACCTGGAACGATACACGACAAACAAGGACTATTATTGCTCATCATTCAGTAAAATTACACTTGACAAGCATTACAGTTTTTAAACATACATGGCAGGCCCGTAGCCAGGGGGGGGGGCTTGGGGGGTTAGAGAGAACCGCCCCTTTTGCTGGGAAAATGTCCACTCTGGGTAAAATTTGATCAAGGTACTTGCAGTTTTTATGAGAAAAGGTCCACTTTTTCAGAAAAAGAACCCCCCTTTTGAAAACTGCTGGCTACAGGCCTGCATGCATATGTATATCAAAATTAACATTGCATACTTACATGCCCAGTGAACAGTGTGGTGGTTGGGGCATCCGGTATCCTTCAGTTACAGCTTCCATCACCTGCTTGGCTGACATACCAGGATAGGGACTGGAACCTAACCAATATACAAGCAGCAGTGAGAATATTGTACTCACATAAAATACTGTCACTGTCAGAATAAAAGAAACTATACTTAACAATCTGATCAAGATTACTGAAGATACACATTGTGTGAATGAAAATTCAGTGTCAAATATTACGCAAATAATAATAATAATGATAATATTAATATTCAGACAGAATAATTATAATAACATTTATTAGAAACTTATTCAGTTACTATTTGCACCACATTCCTGGGATACAGAAGATATTTTATTGAAAGGATACAAGATATTGAATAACAATCTGTAATTCTCAAAATTCAAATTCAGTGGTCATACATGGCATCATAAAATCATGATTACCTGTTGAACAATTAGAACACAAGTGATCACAGTTTCATAATACTTGTTTGCTAAACATTCTTTCAATATAACAACAAGAACATTCCAATACTTTTATGAGCTTGACCATCTGGCAACATTCTTACCCAGTGTGACAATCTCCCAGAGCAAGACTCCATAGGCCCAGACATCAGACTGTGTGGAATATATATTGTCAAACAGAGCTTCTGGGGACATCCAGCGGACTGGCAAGCGACTCTGTTAAAGAGTAACATTAACAAAACGTATATCTGTTATGTGGTCATTATAACTGTCAGCTGATAGCACCTACACCTGTATCTGTACATAAATTTATTTACATATCCTTACAATACATACAATGTGTGGTTATATGCAATTAACATACACTATGCAGGGGTGGATCCAGATGTATTTTCTGCAGGCTTCCAAATTGTCTTTATTGATCTATCCCCCATTTTTGACAGTCTTCAGACAGAAAAAAATTAGATACCTGTCAATGTAAACTTGAAAATCTGATCGTCTTCTCTTCCAGAAGACCCAGAAGACGGCCTAAATCTGTGCCTGTACGGGTGTTATATCATATATATACCTCACAATATGTAGGGATAAGTAATATAAATCATGTGCACTGAGCGGTAACACTTCTTGAAGTCTGCTAGTACTGATAATGGATAAAATAACTATCCAAGATTGCTAATGCCGAATTTCAGGTAAGAATTCAAAGTAACTTTTTTGGCTTTCATGTACAAAGGCGTTTACTAACCTGCGATTGTTTTATGTAAGTGTGACTTTCAATGACGTCCTTAGCAAAGCCAAAGTCAGAAATCTTGCAGGTTCTATCCTCTGCTACCAAAATGTTTCGTGCAGCAAGGTCTCGGTGAAGAATCTGCAATGTAAATATTGAGATTGTTGATCTCACGGTGTAATGAAGATGTTGGCACATCTTATTTTCTTTTAAAGTTTATAAGAAAATTATCTTTAATGACTATATGAGGCAAAAATTGGTGAGATGGAAAATGGACAAAATAAGCAATAGAAAGAATTAACTATTTTCATAAAACAATTGTTTATCCTAGCTTACCGCCATTGATGAAAGATATGACATTCCTTTGGCCACATCTGATGCAAACTTCATCAGATCACGTGGTGTCAAGGAGGAGCTGATCCCATGTAAATTACCATACAGCACTTTCTGTTTTGAACGGTCATTTCGTAGGTAGTCCTGGAGATTTCCGTTTGGAAGGTACTCAACAATAATTAGTGGCACAGCTAAAACAAATAACTTCAATTTATTTAAAAAGAATATGTCAATTTATTTTAAGTTTGGCATGTTTACCACTTGCTCAGGTGTTCCACAGGAAGCTTTTGAAATTGCAAAAAAAAAATAAATAAATAAAATAATAAAAAAACAAGGCAGCAAAGCTGTCAAATGTACAGACAAAAAACAGGAAATAACTAAGCACANAAATATATTTTGAAATTAAAAAAAAAAATTTAGGGTACCAATAAAAAAATGTTTTTTTTACCTTTTTCTTCATCTCTTGTTTTGTGTTTTTTCTTGACACAGTAAGTGTAGGTGACACAAGCCAAGACAATAATCACAATAACCCCCAGGATGGCCCCTATTATCCCCCCTATGGCCTCTCCAGATAGACCCCCCACTGCGGGCCCAGTAGCTGGTGCTGAAATGAAGAAAAAATTGTGGGTAATCAAGTCAACAAAAGCAGGGTTTCAAATACAAAGAAAAAAACTTTTGTAAACAAAATCCAGGTGTGTTGATTTTAAAAAAAGTGACTCCCTTTCATATCAAAAAAGGAACTCAGCAGTAAAGTGTCAGAAGTGGTAAAATTATTTCTACTTACATGACAGTGTAATTCTCAAGACCTTGCTTGGTGGATCATTCAACTGGTTCAAAATGTTACTGGCCTGACACTCATAGTATCCAGGTTTCTGAATGTTATTCAGGTTAAGAACAGACGAGTTATCACGATTTCCGCTTCGTGCTTCTCTGGTGTTGGATAGCTCTTCCCGATAAAACCACTTGAAGTTAGGTTGAGGGTCACCAGTGGCTGAGCAAATGAGAGTGATGGCTGAACCTTTGACAAACTCCACACTGCCCATTGCTGAGTCTATGATGGGGAGGGCACCTGTGGTGGTATAGGTGATCTCAGGGTTGCTGGCAGCAGCTGAAATATTGTCATGTTATTGTATCACAGTGTACAAGATTTTTGTCTAAAGTGAGGCATATCTGGACTTTGGCCAGGACATAAATTTTTGCCGATTTTTAAAAAGCTTTGGTAGAACTATCCACTATTAACTGGCACAATCATTATGATAAATAAATGGTCGGGACAATCAAAATCACCATCAAGCTGGTGTGGTACATACATACATACATATCAAAACTAAACTCCTTCCAGGGTTGAATTTATTTTAGCCAAATTACTGGATAATGTCAGTAAAATCAAAAGTCAAAACTTATTCAATGCTAAATTTCCTGAAGGAGGTACCATTTTCCCCATTTTCTTTCTGAATCATTGTAAACTAATTAGAATTTTAATTTAAAGCTTTTCACTAGAACTATGTTAGCATGAGTACAGTACTGCAGCAAAATTCTTTCCTTGATGTACTTAACTGATTTCTGCTGATTTTTACTTACTCAGTGACACACTGGCCGACTTCTGTCCAATCATACATGTAAACTGTGCACCATCATCAGAGGCCGAGACATCTACTCTTAGCTCACTCTGTCCATTATATGTGCAACCATCACCATTCAGGACAGGGTCACTTGACTGAGCCTCTGAGGTCCTATTTTGTTGCTGACCGTTCAGAGTCCGGTACCATGTGATCCCCTTGGCTGGACGTCCAAGCTGACCAGAGCACATGAACTTTGTTGACCCCTGGTCATTTAATTGCTGGGTGGTCAAGACAGGGTTTTCACTGGGCTCCACTGGAATACACACACATATCTGCTTACACTAGCTATAGTACATTGTAATTGAATGTATGAAAAAATAACAATCAAAACCAAGAATATTGTACACAAACCATACAGACATCTGCAAAAGCTGCATTAAAATACAATAATTGAAATTTTTGTGAATTACTGTTGTCTAAAGGTAAAAGCAGACATATATTTTTGTGTAATTTCTAAAAACTTGATTAATTCAGAAAAAAAATTGAATTTTGATTTTTCTCCACAAGATATTCAGTATATATTCATGTTGATCTTTATTTTCTCATGACGAAGCACAAATTTAAAATAATCCTCAATCCTCCCAGTTCAATTCAATTAGAAAGAAGTTAATATTATAATTTAATGAAAACAAAAAAGATCCAACATTCAATTTTAACACACACGCTGGATGCTGCACCCCCTTACACACACACACACACACACACACACACACACACACACACACATGCACTTGTAGGTATACTAGTATGCCTGTGTCTGTTCACCTTGGATGACACTTAGATATCTGGTTACCTGGAATACAGGTGTGCTCCCCTAGGGGTTATCTCAGACCAACAATAATATTTATTATACACTTCATCAGCTCCCTAAATATGGCACTTCCTACATGTCTTAACCAAAAATCTGATTAGAATATATCAGAAGTTACAGTTGATGCCAAAATTTTTAGGATCTTTTCCCTGATCGTAAACTAGGAAAGTGAAACAACTGAAGTTTGTTCCTGCTTCCTGGTATTGTGTGTCACATCTAATACTTTATGTCTGAGTTGTATGATTACTACCCACATGTATATGATATCCACTACCTCTGTAGCTAGGGTTAAGACTTTAGCTAGTGTGTAAAACTTCTATCTAATTTGGCTAAAACACATAGTACTGTAGAGATAATCAAAAACGTCTGCAAATCTATCAATGTTCTAACTCAATTTTTAATCTTAAAAGTTATTTGGATATAAATTAAGTTACATGGAAACACCAGCAATAATGCATTCACTGTTCTAGTAAGCATGTTAAGGAAACAAATAGATCATGGCACTACTGTATGCCAAGAGGTTGATATCTACATTTCTCCACTCACTTTAGCATCGGGTTTTTGGCCAAATGCTCTAAAAATTCTTTGACTTAGTTGAATCAAACTGTAAAATTTTTAGCTGTCTTTGCACTGATTTAAGTAAAAAGATTAAAAAAAAAAAATCACTCAAAGTATCTCTGTAGTCAGTACTTGACTTTAAAAAAATCTTAAAGTGCATTCAGTATGATTTTATAATTTACCAATATTTCATGAAAGTATCAGTTATAGCCAAAATCATTTATATCTTGTATTGAAACAGTTGAGAAAAAAATTTTAAAAATCAAAATACATAGTGCTGTGTTTCATACTGAGTCACTTGCCTTTTCAAAATTTACCAGAAATGGCAAAGTCATTCTGATAATGCAGGTAAGTTTTTAATAAGACAAACTGAAAATATGAAATTGTCTGTTGTTTTTTATGTTTAGTACATATCCTGCTTAGCAACTTACTAGCATCTTCATGAGAGAAAGAAAATTTTTAGTAAATTTTCTTATTCATTTATTATTTTCCAGCAAAAAAATTTACAGCCAAAAAATCCTGGATAGGATACCTTTACTAATAAACTGTGCAACTGAGTGTTTATTGATCAGATCAGGGAAAATAAATGAATGTCATAAGCAGACAAGCAGCAGTGCCTCAGATCAGTTCAGACATGTGTTTGCTTTTATAACTCTGTCACTACAACATTTGATGACAGCCACACATCCCTCACTGCCCCTCTCACTGACACAGAGACCAACCCCTGCAAAAATATTGTCTCACTGAACACTCACTTATGGTTCTCAATCTGTCCTAGAACCAAAGCTTTTAGTAAACTATCATAGCAGTAAATTATAATGCAGCGCAGAGAAGTGGGTGGTTATATACTATAAAATTTGTCATTTTTCTCTCAATCAACATCCATTTATTAACAAATGTGCTTTCCCACAGTGGTATATTTTAAAATATATTTCTGTAATACATACCAAAGTATTTTCAAAAATAAAAAAGACAGAAAGAAGAAAAGACAGAAAAACAAAAAGAAGGAAAGAAATGAAATACTTAAATATAAATAAATCAGGAATGATTACCTTTTATCATCAGCTGTACAGAGATAATCTCTTCTGTTCCTCTCACAGTCACCCTACATCTATACTCTCCCTCATCTCCTGGACATTGTGTCTGCTGGATATTAAGTGTGGCAGTTTTGGTACTCTCCGACAATGTCCCAGATAGTCTGTCCTTATCGGGGCTGGAGCTTAACTGATCACCATCAGGAAATTGTTGAAGTATTTGTTCAGTTCCCCTGAACCAGGCAACAACAACTAGTCTTTCTGATGCTGTATATGCGCACTGCAATGTTGTTGTCTCTCCAGGTATGCCAACAACTGTAGTTTGGGTTATAATTCCAGAAACTAAAAACATAAAAGGAATATAATGAAATATTACAGTGGTATTTTAAACTTGGATTCTTAAATTATAATGCCATTATTCACATTCTACCACATCTACTGTTTTACATTTAAATGAACACGCTTCTAACCTAAGACTCCAGCAAAGCCAAGGCTTAAGCGCAAACGTACGTTTTACTTCAAAATTAAATCCTTCATATTTTCTAGTACTAATAATTAAAAGAAGGCGTTGATAAGAAATGTCAAATCCACCATTGCATATATACATTAACTCTAACTTACCTGCTAACAGCAATATTACGATGACCAGCAACGGCTCAAAATTGAATTTAGATCGACTTGATGATAAACAAACCGCCATTTGTCAACAGGAGCGTCGTTTACAAATTAACAAATAAAATTAAGTTTGATCAGTTTCCAGCTCTCAATTCAGTGTAACAAACTAAATCTTGTAATATTCACTAGCTCCAGCATAAGTGATAGATCCTGTTAGTCCTTAAACTGTTGGGAGGTTCACACGGAAATAAACAGTGTGACCCGACTTCAACCTATTTTATGCAATAGATGGCGCTAAAGGTAAGACAAGCTAGCCAGACACTTCATCACTTCCTAGAATGGTCATGATATTTTTTCATGACTTGCTTTCTTGTATTTTACTAATGTTTTTGGTTTCATTGATGGTTTGTATGATTTTTTGCTCAGTTGTTTAATCAGTTTGGGTTTTATGACTTGGAAAAAAGTACATTTCCGGTCGAGAAGGTTACAAAACTGACCTAGTAATACTTTAATAACTTTTAAAAATATTCGTTATTGTAGGTTAATGCAAGGAGTTATAACAGACCTTCTGTTATAACTCCTTGGTTAATGTTCAAGTATTGGTAATAACTCTGTTGCTCCATATGAGTCGGGTGAGTGCAAAGTAAACTCTCTAGATTTTGTAATTTATTGCACTGAAAATTGCAGATGGAAAAATCTACAAAAATGTACATGCTGTATTTTAATCTGTGTTGTCTTTTCTCAAGATTCGCCTCGACATTTTTGCGTGACCTTGATCTCTGATGACTTTCAAATCATTTTCAAATAAATGGTTATTATGTCCTTGTATGTTGGAAGTGATACCTCTAGCAAGTGAAGTTTCTTACACCCCATTTCCATAGATTTTTAGATTGATCTATCCCTGTGGGGAGTCTCACTAGATCACTGTCAGCTTGGCCGGCTTAAGCGTCTGTCCCGCCTACTAAAAGCTGTAAGGGGGTAATTAACTATGGTGTCCGCTCGGCTGACTGCAATTTAGCCTGAACCCCCAGGGAGTTAGGTCAATCTAAAACTTAATCTTTAGATCAATCTAAATCTCTGGGAAAGCACCCTAATTAGTTACCCAGTTAATTTTCATGATATGCACAATGAATGATTTAGCTCGCTTAGGCTGAGTTCCCATACCTAGATAGATCTAACTGTGTCGATCTATCTCCAAGGGATTTTTTGCTAAATTGCTTTCAGCTTAAGCAGCTTAGATGTCTGGCACGCCTACTGAAGCTGCTAAACAATAATTAATTACCCCCTAGCAGCTTCAGTAGGCATGATAGACATCTAAGCCGCTTCATTTGATTGCAATTTAGCGAAAATCCTATTTGAGATAGATTGATCCACAGTTAGTATGATATAGGGTCTGGGAACACTCCCTTTATCTCCCCTATGCATTGGCATTCATTTTGGATTTCAGCACCATGCCATGTGGGGTTATGGCTTGGGCATACTTGAGGTTAAGTTGACTTATCACCTTTGTTCACATTTTTCCTAATTTCAATTTTCTGGATTGAAAGTTACTATAATTGACATCATCTCTGTGAATTTTCAGGCAAATGTATGGAGAAATAAAAAATTGATGTGCATAAGATAAATCAACTTTGTTTTATTTCACCCATTACCAAATGAAAATGTAGTTTTTAACAGGCCATAACTCTTGATACTGCATTTTGAATTTAAATGTAATTCTATTTTCATTTAGCTTAAAATATTGGCTTTTTAAAAATGTATACTTTGTATGGGTGATAAAGGCAAACAAATAAATATGGCCAATTTACTGAGGTGACCTGGCTTTTCAAGGCTAGTTCACAGAATTAATTGGGCACAGCAGAACTTTTTGGGTCAGCATTAACTGGATCCTACGGGGTTAAGTTAAATTTTCCAAGGTATATATATAAAACAAAGTCACAGTCACCTCAACCTGTCTATCTATAACAGGGTACCGAGAACTGTCAACTTTATTAACTTCATTCCATCACATTTACAGCAAAGTATTCATCCTAGTGTTAGCTGACCTTGCAAGGAATTCAGTTTATTGGAATGTATTTCTGAATAACAACTCACTAGTTCTCTGAACAATAATTCACTAGTTCACAAAAGACACAAAACAACTGTCACTTTTACTTTAAAAGTTAGTTATAGTATTGATAAACGAAGTATCACGTTTTCAACAATTAATATATTTAATTACAATCCATGTCTGCAAGGTTGTGTCAATGACCAAAATACAACGTTGAGTCAACAACACATTATGACGGTGTGCACGGCGACAACGGCGATGGCGACGACAGACGCAGGTGATGGCTATATAGTATATGTACAGACACATCTGTGTCTGTACATAAAAAGCTGCAAACACGATTCATCTCAATATCAGGAAGATTTTCCAAAAATTCCAGGACCATGGTCCAATTTATACTAGACTGTGTGTGTACAAGCGTGTGTCAACATGTTTACCACGATGCATAAAAACCAATTTGGAATCCTATATGTGTATCATTAATAAAAAGGGCAATCAAAGAATGTAAATAAAAGAAATAAGTATTAAAGCACAATACTTTCTTATTAAATATTATAATTTTATTTGTAAAATAGTGAAAGCTTCTAAAATATTAAATATTCCTGAGAAGCAGGAAGAGCAGAGCTGAAGTTTGGCACGTGCAATAAAATGCTGGACAATAGAGGCAATATACACAAAATAAGGCCTGTAGGCTGTACAGTGCTACCTTTTACAATTATAAATGGTGTAAAAAGCTAATAATAATTTTATGCTGGAATTAAGCCACACTAAATTACCCCGTTTCATGAACCCATTATTAAAATATATACTTTGCTTAATTCATTTTTGAGAAACCAGAACTGACTGTCAAAACAAGGAAAATGGATCTAATGTTATTGGCTCTTCATTCTATCAAAACATTTTTACATTAATTTTGGCTGCAATAAACCCTCAGATTTTTATTGTTTCCAATCATTATTCCAATTACCATATATATATATATATATATATATATATATATTGCATTTTCTCAATAATGACATCAAGGGGGTTTCTTTGGGTCAGTTTGAGCTGACTCCCATTGTCAGTGAATAAACCAGCCCTTCTTAGGGAATTATCCTGATATATATATATATATATATTATTATTAAGTACCAAAGAACTTTTACAGAGTCAAACTGTTTTTTATGAGGGTATTCAGAACAGTGTAGTAGTTACAGAATCCTGGATCAAATGTAGCCACCAACTTCAAACTTGCCGCTTAATTCCTGATTAGACACTGAATACATTCCCTGCGGGGATCACTCAACAAGTATTCTAATTGGGTCATCAATATTTGATTTGCGGTCTGCAGATCTGTTAGTTCCCGGTTCCGAATGCTCTATTTGTCACTTAAAACCTTTCTATAGCATAAGCCATATACAGTGCATTTGGTTTCTGTACATGTCACAAATGGCACCGCTACTAGATCCTGTCCCCATGTGGACATTTCAAACCTGTTTTGGCAGACTGGATATTATGCTTTAAATGCATGTATATATTCACTATGCCTATTTCGTTAAACACAAACAAATACTGGCCAAAGCTGCAATGTATACTAATGCCGAAGTGATACCACATGTATTTGAAATATTCTTCAACATTTTTCTTCCACATTGTACTTGTCAATGTCCTCGTACAGTTTCTCCTCAAACTTCCCCAGAGTAAGAACATCACTCTCCGAGGCCAGGAGGACATCCAAGGAGTTAACAATGTCTTTGAATGTTGACCTTGAACTTGGGACTTCTTCCCAGCAGGACAACATGATGATGTACCTGGAACGATACACGACAAACAAGGACTATTATTGCTCATCATTCAGTAAAATTACACTTGACAAGCATTACAGTTTTTTAAACACATGGCAGGCCCGTAGCCAGGGGGGGGTTCGGGGGGTTAGAAAGAACCGCCCCTTTGTTGGGAAAATGTCCACTCTGGGTAAAATTTGATCTAGGTACTTGCAGTTTTTATGAGAAAAGGTCCACTTTTTCAGAAAAAGAACCCCCCTTTTGAAAACTGCTGGCTACAGGCCTGCATGCATATATGTATATCAAATTTAACATTGCACACTCACATGCCCAGTGAACAGTGTGGTGGTTGGGGCATCCGGTATCCCTCAGTTACAGCTTCCATCACCTGCTTGGCTGACATACCAGGATAGGGACTGGAACCTAACCAATATACAAGCAGCAGTGAGAATATTGTACTCACGTAAAATACTGTCACTGTCAGAATAAAAGAAACTATACTTAACAATCTGATCAAGATTACTGAAGATACACATTGTGTGAATGAAAATTCAGTGTCAAATATTACGCAAATAATAATAATAATGATAATATTAATATTCAGACAGATAATAATTATAATAACATTTATTAGAAACTTATTCAGTTACTATTTGCACCACATTCCTGGGATACAGAAGATATTTTATTGAAAGGATACAAGATATTGAATAACAATCTGTAATTCTCAAAATTCAAATTCAGCGGTCATACATGGCATCATAAAATCATGATTACCTGTTGAACAATTAGAACACAAGTGATCACAGTTTCATAATACTTGTTTGCTAAACATTCTTTCAATATAACAACAAGAACATTCCAATACTTTTATGAGCTTGACCATCTGGCAACATTCTTACCCAGTGTGACAATCTCCCAGAGCAAGACTCCATAGGCCCAGACATCAGACTGCGTGGAATATATATTGTCAAACAGAGCTTCTGGGGACATCCAGCGGATTGGCAAGCGACTCTGTTAAAGAGTAACATTAAGAAAAGGTATATCTGTTATGTGGTCATTATAACTGTCAGCTGATAGCACCTACACCTATATCTGTACATAAATTTATTTACATATCCTTACAATACATACAATGTGTGGTTATATGCAATTAACATACACTATGCAAGGGCAGATCCAGAGGTATTTTCTGCCAGGCTTCCAAATTGTCTTTATTGATCTATCCCCCATTTTTGACAGTCTTCAGACAGAAAAAAATTAGATACCTGTCAATGTAAACTTGAAAATCTGATCGTCTTCTCTTCCAGAAGACCCAGAAGACGGCCTAAATCTGCGCCTGTACGGGTGTTATATCATATATATACCTCACAATATATAGGGATAAGTAATATAAATCATGTGCACTGAGCGGTAACACTTCTTGAAGTCTGCTAGTACTGATAATGGATAAAATAACTATCCAAGATTGCTAATGCCGAATTTCAGGTAAGAATTCAAAGTAACTTTTTTGGCTTTCATGTACAAAGGCGTTTACTAACCTGCGATTGTTTTATGTAAGTGTGACTTTCAATGACGTCCTTAGCAAAGCCAAAGTCAGAAATCTTGCAGGTTCTATCCTCTGCTACCAAAATGTTTCGTGCAGCAAGGTCTCGGTGAAGAATCTACAATGTAAATATTGAGATTGTTGATCTCACGGTGTAATGAAGATGTTGGCACATCTTATTTTCTTTTAAAGTTTATAAGAAAATTATCTTTAATGACTATATGAGGCAAAAATTGGTGAGATGGAAAATGGACAAAATAAGCAATAGAAAGAATTAACTATTTTCATAAAACAATTGTTTATCCTAGCTTACCGCCATTGATGAAAGATATGACATTCCATTGGCCACATCTGATGCAAACTTCATCAGATCACGTGGTGTCAAGGAGGAGCTGATCCCATGTAAATTACCATACAGCACTTTCTGTTTTGAACGGTCATTTCGTAGGTAGTCCTGGAGATTTCCGTTTGGAAGGTACTCAACAATAATTAGTGGCACAGCTAAAACAAATAACTTCAATTTATTTAAAAAGAATATGTCAATTTATTTTAAGTTTGGCATGTTTACCACTTGCTCAGGTGTTCCACAGGAAGCTTTTGAAATTGCAAAAAAAAAAAAAAAAAAATAAAATAATAAAAAATAATAATAATAATAATTAACAAAGCTATATGAATTCATTGCTTCATTTAAAGTGATTAGAAAATTTACAAAAAATTTAAAACTTTTATATTATATAACATGTCTACATACCATCATCTCGAGTGCAGGATCCTAAAAGCTCGACCACGTTTGGGTGAGATTGGAGTTCCAGCATCACTTTCAGTTCTTTCATCATCTCACTGTAGAGGGATATGTCACTTGTATCTACAAATATAAGTTTATCTTATTGAATGAAGTACATGCTGAAATCATCAGGTTTTTAATTGACCTGGAGCATCAAAAATATATGAAAAATGTTGGAATATTTACCCTTTGCAGTTTTAACTGCAGCAATGCTCCAATTCTGTTTTCCATCAAGGTTGAAAATGTTGCCCCTAAAGACCTGACCAAAAGCCCCGCTTCCTATCTTTTCCATCAACTTGATATTCTGTCTTCTTATCTCCACATCTCTCTCCTGAATCTCTGCATACTGGGGCTCCTCCATTGGATTAAACTTTAAGTTTAAATTGGTATAAATATCAACATCAAGATATGGCACCAAAGCTGTCAAATGTACAGAGAAAAATTACTCAAAAAGTAGAAAATAATGTTGTACAAAATAGTTTATTTTATCAATACAGAAGCAATAATACATTATGCTTAGCAGCAAAGTTAACACCAAATTTTAATTAAACATAATCTGAAAAATGAGAATTTCACTAAAATGCATTACCTCCAGAAAACAAACCGTTTTTTTTTACTCAAGCTGTATCTAGGTCTAGTCAAACAAACAGGCTTTTTTTGTCAGAAAAAATGTCTGCACTGGGTAAAATTTGATCTATGAACACAAAGGCTTAATGGCAAAAGGTATATTGTTTCAGGAAAAGAACCCCTCCCCCCTCTCCCACTTTGAAACTGTTGGCTATACAGGCCTGAATCATAATTTCACAAACTCTTACACAGCATTACACGACATTACGTAACATTACCACTTGATGTTCTGTAATGAAGTTGGTGTTGACAGGCCATTCATATGGCTCTTCTTTACTCCTTAGCTACAAAAGTACCCGGTAGGAAAACGAATGTTAACATTTCATTCTTTTAAAAATTGCTGTCAAATGAAATCAATAACAATATAATGATGGCAATATAATTATTTTCAGTCTACATTCCATAAAAATTTCAGTAGACTTTATCACATATAAAATTTACAAAAATTTATAGATATGAGTGTTAAATTAGTGTGTGTATGTATGCATGTGTGTGTGTGCGCGTGCATTCTCAGTTCCTTTAGATCTTTCAGTGATTTCTGTGCTCCTATTTGTCTTAGGTAAATTGGCAGCTTGTTCCACTAGCTGTGCTGGTGCAGCTATTCAAAATGATATGTCACCATATGTCAATGATATTCCTTCTATTTTACCAGTAACTACCACATGGCAATTATGTAACATTACCACTTGCTGTTCTGCACTGAGGTTTCTGTTGACAGGCCTTTTGTATGTCTCTTCATTACTCCTTAGCTGCGAAAGCAGGAAAACAAGTGTTAATATTTCATTCATTAATAATTCGTTCTTTTAAAATTACCATCAAATGATGTCAATAATATTCATCCTACAATATTTCACCTGTAAACTATCACTTTTAATTTAAAAAATATACTGTAAGTAATAGCTGTTATCACAAGCAACTCATTACACAAGGACTGTACATGTACTATAATTCACAGACTTTATGACCAATCTTTAATCCAGGCCTTGCATTTTTGAGTATGACATTCACCTCTCCACTCACAAAAGTCTGAAGCTCTTCAACTTCATCCTCTGCATTGTTTTCCTGTGACACTACAATGACAAATAGATGGGTAAGACACATGCATCTTCAAATGAGGAAGGGGGGATCAGGGAAAATTTGGGAGCAAGGTGTATCAGCATCAGAATAGGAGGAAATGAACTAGGTGAAGTACTTTAATTACAGAGAAAAATCTGAAAAGAAATGCATTTTAAAATATTAATTAATTTTTAAGTGAATGAATCTGACATGGCCATATTGGGTGAAGAACTTTCTAAAATTATTGAAAGGTCCATTTTCAAGTATGACAAGAAAAAACTTTCTTCAACGGTTAATTGTTTTCACTAAAGACCAACAAAATTTTCAAGTTTTTACTTTAATCGGGGTAGGGGGCATAGGGAAACACATAGCCTTCTCTGTATGATTCACCGAAAGCAAGCAATTTGCTAATACATTATCTCCAATCAACTTAGTCTACTACCAGTCATCTCAAATAGCAGCCCCAAGGTCAAATCTTAAAACTTAAATACCATAGTTACTTGAACAAAACAAATTTTAAAGGTAAAGTTAATTTTTAGGAAAGTTTTTACATAATCAAAATCAGAGGTGTACAGTAAATGGGTATAATACTAGTATGCAACACACATTTGGACCCAACTTTAGTTCTGTTAGTTCTTTGCCTATATAATAAGAAAATGTCCTAACATTTCCAACACAGAGTGTAAGACGCTACTCCCCCCCCCCCCCCCCCCCCCGACTCAAACAACTCCCAATTAACTTTAAAAATTTTCTAACAACAAATTTTGAGTTAAAAAACAAAACCTTATTTTGGTTCATACTGTTAACAATTACAGTTCACAAGAGAAACTACCAATATGATAAATGAGAAACATTCCAATATTGTTTTCATGATTGAAATTATGCACGTCAATAAGGTGCATAATGAGATTAAATTATCAATTGATTTCAATTTTATCAATTTTTCTAGCTGGATTCAAAATTACTTTTAAATACCTTTTTCTCCACCTCTTGTTCTGTGTTTCTTCTTGATGCAGTAGGTGTAGGTGACATAAGCCAAGACAATAATCACAGTGACCCCCTGGATGGCCCCTATTATCCCCCCTATGGCCTCCCCTGATAGACCCCCCACTGTGGCCCCAGTAGCTGGCTCTGAAATGATGTCAAGTAAAAAAATGGTATTCCCCATCACAACAGGTTTATTCTGAGCATTAATTTAAATTATTGTAACAAGTCAAAATGTCTTTGGAAATACTGACCTGAAATCCAACTACCATCACTTATCAATAATTACCACCTCAAATTCACATATATAACTTATTGTTATTGTTAAAATACCACTATCCCAAGTCTGTTGGAGGAAATCCCAGTAACTGACATGTACATGAGAAAAGTTAACCAAGTAGTAAATCATTAAAGTACCACTTTTACCTGAAAGTGAAATTCTCAAGACCTTGCTTGGTGGATCATTCAACTGGTTCAAAATGTTACTGGCCTGACACTCATAGTATCCAGGTTTCTGAATGTTATTCAGGTTAAGAACAGAGGAGTTATCACGATTTCCGCTTCGTGCTTCTCTGGTGTTGGATAGCTCTTCTCGATAAAACCACTTGAAGTTAGGTTGAGGGTCACCAGTGGCTGAGCAAATGAGAGTGACGGCTGAACCTTTGACAAACTCAACACTGCCCATTGCTGAGTCTATGATGGGGAGGGCACCTGTGGTGGTATAGGTGATCTCAGGGTTGCTGGCAGCAGCTGAAATATTGTAATGTAAAGAACCCTTGGGTGTTGAATGATACAATCACCATGAAAGAGGCATACAGAAAATATATACATAAATATTATGTGAGCATAATTGTCACTTTAGTAAATGGAGTATTAGCAATGCAGATGTAAACAGCAGTTAAACTAATTAATTTGTCCTGAATTACCATGACTGCCAATTTTACTATAAATACCAATATTAACTAAGGGATACCTGACACAAATTAGTTGACATATATAACAAAGAGGAAATGATAGACTTTCAACAAGATGGTAAAAAATGCAGCATAATTTCAGTTTTAATTTGATAAAATTTTATCCAAGATCAATACAAGGGCTAAGATCAAAAAAGGAAGATCAAAGATTAGTTCGTAATTTTTTATATAAGAAAAAAAAAGCTGTTTACTCCAGGAATATCCATCAAATTGTAGGCATTTGCATACATGCATTTGACCTTACGGTCAGTCATGTTTGTATCTTGAAAAAGTTCTTATTTTTTCTAATTCAGGTCTTAAACACAACAAAACCCTTTAATTAAAGTTGACATGAAGCATATCTACATGCAGTGTTGTTACATATTGTATCTTTTACTTACTCAGTGACACACTGGCCGACTTCTGTCCAATCATACATGTAAACTGTGCACCATCATCAGAGGCCGAGACATCTACTCTTAGCTCACTCTGTCCATTATATGTGCAACCATCACTGTTCAGGACAGGGTCACTAGACTGAGCCTCTGAGGTCCTATTTTGTTGCTGACTGTTCAGAGTCTGGTACCATGTGATCCCCTTGGCTGGACGTCCTAGCTGACCAGAGCACATAAACTTTGTTGACCCCTGGTCATTTAATTGTTGGGTGGTCAAGACAGGGTTTTCACTGGGCTCAACTATAATATATACACACATATATATTTTTACTATATATTTAATAGTTGGGTATTCAAGACAAGAACTTCACTGGGCTCCACTCATATAATAGGAATAAATATACTAGTATGGATGTTAACTTGATTTGCTTATAAAGTGCAACAGCATTTTCTAGCTGATAGCAAATTACATTGTATGTATATACCTACTGAATGAGTGATCTTTGAAAAGTTTTTTTGAAAATCTATAAAAAATTTTTTTAAATATTTATCTTAATTGTTTAGCTTTGAAAATATCTGAATCAATCAAATAATTATGCTACATAAATCTCTATTAAATAGACCTGTTCTGTCCTTAGGTAGCTGTGTCTCTGTCCTTTAAATTATCACAATTTCTAATTGTCTGTTGGTGATTTTTAACTAATCACAGCACTAAATATGTTTTGACTAAAAAAATCCTTTTGTTAATATATAGTGATGAGGAGAATGTGCAATATACTGGTAAGTGTTTTAGGTTTTGTAGTTTAAAAAAAAAAACTTAAAATACAAGCATATAATACAGACATTTCATTAAAAAGCAACTACTGTAACTGTTTTTTAGCTTTCACTTCAATGTTAGGACATATAAACACTTCAAGTCCAGTGTTATATGCAAAGAAAAAAAAGTTGCTCAGTTATGTTTCTTGTTTAAATAACCATTTAAACTGGTTCTCAATTAATAAGCATAATATAAAGAAACCATGATGTTACCTTTTATCACCAGCTCTTGTGAATAGGTTTCTTTTGGAGCTCCTCTCACATTCACTCTACACCTATACTGTCCCTCATCTCCTGGACATTGTGTTTGCTGGATATTTAATGTGGTAGTTTTGGTACTTTCTGACAATGTTCCAGATAGTCTGGCCTTATCAGGGCCAAAGCTATATTGTGCACCATCAGGATATAGTTCAAAAATATTCTCAGAGCCTTTGTACCAGCCAACAACAGCTAATGTTCCTGATGCTGTATATGTACACTGCAATGTTGTTGTTTCTCCAGGTACGCCAACAACTGTAGTTTGGGTTACAATTCCAGAAACTAAAAACATAAAAGGCATATATATTTGAACTCGAGACAAAGGTATTTAAGATTTGGAATCTTTAACAAAAATATGTAGAATATGTACATGTAACGTTATATAATGATTAGATAAAAATAGGGAAAATGCATTTCAAAATGCATTCCTATTGACGGTTCTAATACGTGCCCAGCAGACAAACGACATTGATTCACCGTTGAATCAACGTTAATTTTGGTGGATCTTGTTACGTTGAAACAAAGTAGAATCAATGTCGTTTGCCTGCAGGGCGCTAACGCATGAATTTTCGTGCTAAGTCAACTCAAGGGCACCCTGAGCTTCAGAGCTAACTTGACACTAACCTTTTCACTGTAGCCTATCTCCATCGTGTCAAGTAACTTGACACGATGGAGATAGGCTACAGTGAAAAGGTTAGTGTCAAGTTAGCTCTGAAGCTCAGGGTGCTCAAGGGCCAACAGTCATGTACCTCTTCTTCTGTGATTATAAATCCTTTGCTAATCACAATTTGAAAAGATCACGTACATTAGAAGGAAATGCAACATCGATCATAATTGCGAGTATATTAATTAACTCTAACTTACCTGCTAACAGCAAGATTACGATGACAAACAACGGTTCAAAACTGAATTTAGATTGACTTGATAAACAAAAAAGAGCCATTTTTCAACTGTGGAAACCCAGTCTTCTACAAATAAAATTAGAGATTGATCAGTTCCCAATTCCCCATACAGTGTTTAAAACTAAATCCCATAATGTTCATTGGTTCCAGAATAAGCGATACATCCTGTTAGTCATTTGCCTCCATTTTTTTTTCTTTTTTTGCACTCGGTTCGTGTATAGCAGAGGAAGTCCGAAAACTGAGACAGTTTAAAATTAATCATATAGCTCACACGGAAATGAACACAATCTACATATAACAATCATCTTTTCATGATCTAACTAAAAATAATTTGCCAGGTTTGATGATTATGTGATTTGGGAGCATATTCTAGCTGTGTTTTGGACGGTGAGAAAGTTTTAAAAGTGGGCGTAACTTATTCACAAGAAATGTACTTCTTTTCCAAGAAGATACAAAACCCAATTGACAAAAATTTATACAAATTACCAATGACACCTTAAAAATGAGTAAAAATACAAGAAATGAAGCTATGAAAAAGTATTTTAGCATTCCCAGGGGAAATACTGCGACATGCTTTGTGAAAAAAGTGTCTGGCTAGCTTGCCTTATCCTGTGGCGCCATCTGGTACTGCATTAAAATAGGTTGAAGCAGGGTCTGAAATTGCTTGTCCTCAGTGGGTCATGTTTTCAGTGGGTAGGTGCCCGCTAATGCTAAAGAGTTTATACAGTATGTAATCGCCAATAGAAAAAAATACATCTCCAATTTTTCTAGCAGCTTTTTGGGTTGCATTCTAAATCTTGTAAATATATACTGTACTGTGAAAACTTGGGCGCCTACCAAGCTTCACAAAAGTTCACATACAAGTAATTTAAAAAATACTGGGACAAAATTTTACACTACACTAAGACTTGGACATAATTATGTCCAAGACTAAGATGATGGTGCTCTACTAAAACGGGCATACCTAGATGAATTAATACACGTTGATGTACTGTCAAACACTAAAGCCATAGTATATCATGGAGTACGTGCCAATTCAAGGAGTAAAGGCAATTTATGTAGAAGTTTGGTGTGTGTGCTGGTTAATTTGTGGGTTAAGTGGTTAATGTGGTTTATATTTCCAAAGGGTATGCTGTTTTTTTGCTTTTTTTCAGCATATTTTATCCACATTTTCTAGATATCTACATGTATTTTACCTGTAGTGCATAATTTAAAACTAATGGTGATTGTTACTGACAAATATATCTGTATTGCTTGGAGACAGTTCCCACAGATATTTAGGTGGATCTATCCCCCTGGGGAGTCTCACTTGATTGCTGTCAGCTTAACCAGCTTAAATGTCTGCCTCGCCTATTTAAAGCTGTAAGGGGGTAATTAACTTGTGTGCATGCTCGGCTCCCAGAAGCTGACAGCAATTTAGCATGAACCCCCAGGGAGTTAGGCCGATCCAGATGGATCGATCATAAACTGTGGAAACCCAGTCTTGGAGTGTAGTGTGATATCGATGACTATGTTTTGCTGTTAGTAATATGGGAGATGTCATGTTGAGCCTTTCTGTAAGGAAAAAAAGAGAAAAGATTTCCTTAAAGAGTTTTTGTTGTAATATATTAGACAAATCATCACAGCAGTACGTAGTTGTAATTGTTGTTGTTGCCAATGTTGATACACGCAGTTGAGGTTGTATTCAGAAGACACCTGCAACAGTGATTATAATCTGTTAAATAAGCATTAATTGATAAAAAATAATGTTTTGTGTAGTGCCACTATACAAAATTCTTAAAAGGAAAACTGTGTTCCTTGTTATTTTTTAACTTACAAGAATGATTGACATACAGCTCAAATTGGCAAACCAGCTTGACTGGATAATTTTTCTTTCTTGTTATCTTTCTTGTTATCTTGTTTTTGTATTATTGCTATTATATCTCTGTACATTTTCACCGGCTCATTCTGGTGTAGAAAGTATGAATAAAGCATATAAACTATTTAGCCTCAGCAGGCTCCAACCCAATGAAGACATACATGACCCACTGAGGACAGGCATTTTGGGTACTGTTGGGTTGGGGCCGTAGCAATAGTCCGAAGGTTCATTGGTCCGAATATTCACTATAGAACCTTCGGACCAATGAACCCTTGATTAAAAAATCGATGAAAATGTTACCACTTTTCGGACCAATGAACCTTCGGACTATCGAGACGCCCCCGTTGGGTTGAAGTCAGGTCACAATACATGTTTATTTCAATTTGAACCTCCTAACAGTTTAATGACTATTAGTAACAGGATTTATCACTTATGCTGGAATTAGTGAACATTATAGGATTTAGTTTGCTACACTAGATTGAGAGTTTGGAACTGATCAAACGCTAACTTTATTTGTTAATTTGCAGACGACATTCCTGTTGAAAAATGGCTGTTTGTTGTTTATCATCAAGTCAATCTAAATTCAATTTTGAACCATTGTTTGTCATCGTACTCTTGCTGTTAGCAGGTAAGTTAGAGTTAATATGCAGGGAATAATGAATGTAGCATATCGCACTAATGTGATCTTTTCAAATTGTAATTAGTAAAGGATTTAACTGCAGAAGAAAAATATGCAGTGCTAATTGAATTACTAATACATATTGCCCTGATTTGCTGGAGTTTCAGGTAAGAAGTGGATGCATGTTTAAATAATGTAATATTGATTTTAGAATTCAGGGATTTGTTTTACAACTCACCCAGACTTCTTCCCAAGCAGTCTTAGGGAAAACGTTGATATAAAAATTTGGGTAGGATCAACAGTTTAAAAGTTTGGTGGTACCAGTTCAAACTTTTACCCATCCTGTGCATAGGATCAGCAAAGGCCAAAAGTTTTGGCCATTTCTGATGACCATTCGATTTCAAGGATTCAGATTTTTGTCAGGTACTTTTAAGTTACTTTGCTCTTTACCATGAGGAAAAAAAGTTTACAGTGTACATAACATATTTTTTAAGTTACCAAATCTTAAATACCTTTTTCTTATATTTCAAATATATACCTTTTATGTTTCTAGTTTCTGGAAATGGATCACAAACTACAGTTGTTGGCATACCTGGAGAAACAACAACATTGCAGTGCACATATTCAGCATCAGGAAGATTAAATGATGTCAGCTGGTTCAAGGGCACTCAGCAACTACTTTCACAATATCGAGATGGTGAACAATTTCTCTTTGGCCCTGATAAGGCCAGACTATCTGGGACATTGTCAGAAAGTACCAAAACTTCTACACTTAATATCCAGCAGACACAATGTCCAGGAGATGAGGGACAGTATAGGTGTGAGGTGAATGTGAGAGGAGCACCAGAAGAGATAAATTTACTACAGCTGATGATAAAAGGTGATCAATCATGATTTATTTATTTATATTTCATTTCTTCCTGACTTTCTTTTTCTCTTTCTGTCTCTCTTTATTTACTTCTGAAAACATTTAACTCTTTATTATTTTTCATTTGACTCCCATTAAAAAGCTTTGGGAGTCGTCATGACTCTCAAAATAAAAAGCCTAGGGGAAACCCTGTATAATATTGGTGACTGTTGTAGAAATTAATTTTGAAACAACACTGTGGGAGTGTATATATAACATTTGTGGATGTTTAGTGAAAAATTACTTTAAAAGTATCTATATCTGCCCACTGTTGCACTGTGCTATAATCAGCTGTTTTATGAAAGCTGTCCCCTGCTAAAATTTGTTTCATTTAACATCACATACGGTTCTCAATCTATTCAAGAACATTTGGTGTATTTTTATTACAGTACAGTTCTAATGTTGTTCTGTAGTGAATGTAACAGTTCAAGAACTGTTTTTGGGAAGTCCTTCAGAATGTCCTAGAATAGATTAAGAATATTTTTCATTAAGAGAGAAAAACATGTTCTAGGGCAGATTGAGCACCATAATCGAGTGTTCAATGAGACAATTTTTTGCAGGGTTGATCTATGTGTCAGTGAGAGGGGCAGTGAGGGATGTGTGGCTGTCATCAAATGTTGTAGTGACAGAGTTATAAAAGCAAACACATGTCTGAACTGATCTGAGGCACTGCTGCTTGTCTGCTTATGACATTCATTTGTTTTCACTGATCTGATCAATATACAGTAACACTGTCTCAGTTGCACAATTTAAAGATATCCTATTCAGGAACGTTTTGGCTGCAAATTTTTTTTCCCTGGATAATAATATATGAACAGAAAAATTATTAACAAATTCCTTTCACTCATGAAGATATAAGTACGTTGCTAAGCAGCATATGTAAACATAAAAACAACAGACATTTTCATATTTTCAGTTTGTCTTTATTCAAAACTAACCTGCATTATCAGCATGACATGCCATTTCTGGTAAATTTTGAAAAGGCAAGTGACTCGGTATGAAAGTGACTTTGTATTTTGATAAATTTTTTTCTCAACTGTTTCAATGCAAGATATGAATAACTTTGACTTTAACTGGTACTTTCACGAAATAAACTATAAAATTATATCAAACTCACTTTAAGATATTTTGTTTTAGCATTAAAACTACACATATAAATATAAAATTAAAAAATATATTTAAAAATACTGACTACAGAGATACTTTCAGTCAAATTGTATTTTTACTTACATCAGTGCAAAGACAGATGAGCATTTGACCAAAAATGCCACGAGTGGAGAAATGTAGATTAGATATCAAGCTCTTGGTGCATGTACGGTACACTAGTGCCAGTAATGATACTTGATAGTATTTGTTTCCTCATAGATGATCAGCATATTTATAACATGTTTAAGTGATTGCATTATTGCTAGTGTTGTCANAAATGATTTTAATTTTATCAATTTTTCTAGCTGGATTCAAAATTACTTTTTTAAATACCTTTTTCTTCTCCTCTTGTTTCTCGTTTCTTCTTGATGCAGTAGGCGTAGGTGACATAAGCCAAGACAATAATCACAGTGACCCCCAGGATGGCCCCTATTATCCCCCCTATGGCCTCCCCTGATAGACCCCCCACTGTGGCCCCAGTAGCTGGCTCTGAAATGATGTCAAGTAAAAAAATGGTATTCCCCATCACAACAGGTTTATTCTGAGCATTAATTTAAATTATTGTAACAAGTCAAAATGTCTTTGGAAATACTGACCTGAAATCCAACTACCATCACTTATCAATAATTACCACCTCAAATTCACATATATAACTTATTGTTATTGTTAAAATACCACTATCCCAAGTCTGTTGGAGGAAATCCCAGTAACTGACATGTACATGAGAAAAGTTATTCAAGTAGTAAATCATTAAAGTACCACTTTTACCTGACTGTGTAATTCTCAAGACCTTGCTTGGTGGATTGTTCAACTGGTTCAAAATGTTACTGGCCTGACACTCATAGTATCCAGGTTTCTGAATGTTATTCAGGTTAAGAACAGAGGAGTTATCACGATTTCCGCTTCGTGCTTCTCTGGTGTTGGATAGCTCTTCTCGATAAAACCACTTGAAGTTAGGTTGAGGGTCACCAGTGGCTGAGCAAATGAGAGTGATGGCTGAACCTTTGACAAACTCAACACTGCCCATTGCTGAGTCTATGATGGGGAGGGCACCTGTGGTGGTATAGGTGATCTCAGGGTTGCTGGCAGCAGCTGAAATATTGTAATGTAAAGAACCCTTGGGTGTTGAATGATACAATCACCATGAAAGAGGCATACAGTAAATATATACATAAATATTATGTGAGCATAATTGTCACTTTAGTAAATGGAGTATTAGCAATGCAGATGTAAACAGCAATTAAACTAATTAACTTGTCCTGAATTACCATGACTGCCAATTTTACTATAAATACCAATATTAACTAAGGGATACCTGACACAAATTAGCTGACATAACAAAGAGGAAATGATAGACTTTCAACAAGATGGTAAAAAATGCAGTATTATATTTCAGTTTTAATTTGATAAAATTTTATCCAAGATCAATACAAGGGCTAAGATCAAAAAAGGAAGATCAAAGATTATAGTTAGTAATTTTTTATATAAGAAAAAAAAAAGCTGTTTACTCCAGGAATATCCATCAAATTGTAGGCATTTGCATACATGCATTTGACCTTACGGTCAGTCATGTTCGTATCTTGAAAAATTCTTATTTTTTCTAATTCAGGTCTTAAACACAATAAAACCCTTTAATTAAAGTTGACATGAAGCATATCTACATGCAGTGTTGTTACATATTGTATCTTTTACTTACTCAGTGACACACTGGCCGACTTCTGTCCAATCATACATGTAAACTGTGCACCGTCATCAGAGGCCGAGACATCTACTCGTAGCTCACTCTGTCCATTATATGTGCAACCGTTGCTATTCAGGTCAGGGTTACTTGACTGTGCCTCTGAGGTCCTATTTTGTTGCTGACCGTTCAGAGTCCGGTACCACGTTATCCCCTTGGCTGGACGTCCTAGCTGACCAGAGCACATAAACTTTGTTGACCCCCGGTCATTTAATTGTTGGGTGGTCAACACAGGGTTTTCACTGGGCTCAACTATAATATATACACACATATATATTTTTACTATATATTTAATAGTTGGGTATTCAAGACAATTTAAGAACTTCACTGGGCTCAACTCATATAATAGGAATAAATATACTAGTATGGATGTTAACTTGATTTGCTTATAAAGTGCAACAGCATTTTCTAGCTGATAGCAAATTACATTGTATGTATATACCTATTGAATGAGTGATCTTTGAAAAGTTTTTTTGAAAATCTATAAAAAAAATTTTTTAAATATTTATCTTTATTGTTTAGCTTTGAAAATATCTGAATCAATCAAATAATTATGCTACATAAATCTCTATTAAATAGACCTGGTCTGTCCTTAGGTAGCTGTGTCTCTGTCCTTTAAATTATCACAATTTCTTGTCTGTTGGTGATTTTTAACTAATCACAGCACTAAATATGTTTTGACTAAAAAAATCCTTTTGTTAATATATAGTGATGAGGAGAATGTGCAATATACTGGTAAGTGTTTTAGGTTTTGTAGTTTTAAAAAATAAACTTAAAATACAAGCATATAATACAGACATTTCATTAAAAAGCAACTACTGTAACTGTTTTTTAGCTTTCACTTCAATGTTAGGACATATAAACACTTCAAGTCCAGTGTTATATGCAAAGAAAAAAAAGTTGCTCATGCAGTTATGTTTCTTGTTTAAAAAACCATTTAAACTGGTTCTCAATTAATAAGCATAATATAAAGAAACCATGATGTTACCTTTTATCACCAGCTCTTGTGAATAGGTTTCTTTTGGAGCTCCTCTCACATTCACTCTACACCTATACTCTCCCTCATCTCCTGGACATTGTGTTTGCTGGATATTTAGTGTGGTAGTTTTGGTACTTTCTGACAATGTTCCAGATAGTCTGGCCTTATCAGGGCCAAAGCTATATTGTGCACCATCAGGATATAGTTCAAAAATATTCTCAGAGCCTTTGTACCAGCCAACAACAGCTAATGTTCCTGATGCTGTATATGTACACTGCAATGTTGTTGTTTCTCCAGGTACGCCAACAACTGTAGTTTGGGTTACAATTCCAGAAACTAAAAACATAAAAGGCATATATATTTGAACTCGAGACAAAGGTATTTAAGATTTGGAATCTTTAACAAAAATATGTAGCATATGTACATGTAACGTTATATAATGATTAGATAAAAATAGGGAAAATGCATTTCAAAATATAATACTGTAAATGATTCTACTTCTTCTCTCATACCCCAGCAGTGTCAACTCTATAGCACGAAAATCCGTGCGTAAGCACTCCTATTGACGGTTCTAATACAAGCAGCCCAGCAGACAAACGACATTGATTCACCGTTGAATCAACGTAAATTTTGGTGGATCTTGTTACGTTGAAGCAACGTAGAATCAATGTCGTTTGCCTGCAGGGTGCTAACGCATGAATTTTCGTGCTAAGTCAACTCAAGGGCCAACAGTCATGTACCTCTTCTTCTGTGATTATAAATCCTTTGCTAATCACAATTTGAATAGATCACGTACATTAAATGCAACATCGATCATTATTGCGAGTATATTAATTAACTCTAACTTACCTGCTAACAGCAAGATTACGATGACAAACAACAGTTCAAAACTGAATTTAGATTGACTTGATAAACAAAAAACAGCCATTTTTCAACTGTGGAAACCCAGTCCTCTACAAATAAAATTAGAGATTGATCAGTTCCCAATTCCCCATACAGTGTTTAAAACTAAATCCCATAATGTTCATTGGTTCCAGAATAAGCGATACATCCTGTTAGTCATTTGCCTCCATTTTTTTTTTTTTTTTTTTTTTTTTTGCACTCGGTACGTGTATAGCAAGGAAGTCCGAAAACTGAGACAGTTTACAATTAATCATATAGCTCATACGGAAATGAACACAATCTACATCTTTTCATGATCTAACTAAAAATAATTTGCCAGGTTTGATGATTATGTGATTTGGGAGCATATTCTAGCTGTGTTTTGGACGGTGAGAAAGTTTTAAAAGTGGGCGTAACTTACCACCCTGTGAACTTACTCACAAGAAATGTACTTCTTTTCCAAGAAGATACAAAACCCAATTGACAAAAATTTATACAAATTACCAATGACACCTTAAAAATGAGTAAAAATACAAGAAATGAAGCTATGAAAAAGTATTTTAGCATTCCCAGGGGAAATACTGCGACATGCTTTGTGATGAAGTGTCTGGCTAGCTTGCCTTATCCTGTGGCGCCATCTGGTACTGCATTAAAATAGGTTGAAGCAGGGTCTGAAATTGCTTGTCCTCAGTGGGTCATGTTTTCAGTGGGTAGGTGCCCGCTAATGCTAAAGAGTTTATACAGTATGTAATCGCCAATAGAAAAAATACATCTCCAATTTTTCTAGCAGCTTTTTGGGTTGCATTCTAAATCTTGTAAATATATGCTGTACTGTGAAAACTTGGGCGCCTACCAAGCTTCACAAAAGTTCACATACAAGTAATTTAAAAAATACTGGGACAAAATTTTACACTACACTAAGACTTGGACATAATTATGTCCAAGACTAAGATGATGGTGCTCTACTAAAACGGGCATACCTAGATGAATTAATACACGTTGATGTACTGTCAAACACTAAAGCCATAGTATATCATGGAGTACGTGCCAATTCAAGGAGTAAAGGCAATTTATGTAGAAGTTTGGTGTGTGTGCTGGTTAATTTGTGGGTTAAGTGGTTAATGTGGTTTATATTTCCAAAGGGTATGCTGTTTTTTGCTTTTTTTCAGCATATTTTATCCACATTTTCTAGATATCTACATGTATTTTACCTGTAGTGCATAATTTAAAACTAATGGTGATTGTTACTGACAAATATATCTGTATTGCTTGGAGACAGTTCCCACAGATATTTAGATGGATCTATCCCCCTGGGGAGTCTCACTTGATTGCTGTCAGCTTAACCAGCTTAAATGTCTGCCTCGCCTATTTAAAGCTGTAAGGGGGTAATTAACTTGTGTGCACGCTCGGCTCCCAGAAGCTGACAGCAATTTAGCATGAACCCCCAGGGAGTTAGGCCGATCCAGATGGATCGATCATAAACTGTGGAAACCCAGTCTTGGAGTGTAGTGTGATATCGATGACTATGTTTTGCTGTTAGTATGGGAGATGTCATGTTGAGCCTTTCTGTAAGGAAAAAAAGAGAAAAGATTTCCTTAAAGAGTTTTTGTTGTAATATATTAGACAAATCATCACAGCAGTACGTAGTTGTAATTGTTGTTGTTGCCATTGTTGATACACGCAGTTGAGGTTGTATTCAGAAGACACCTGCAACAGTGATTATAATCTGTTAAATAAGCATTATGTAATATTGCATTAAATTGATAAAAAATAATGTTTTGTGTAGTGCCACTATACAAAATTCTTAAAAGGAAAACTGTGTTCCTTGTTATTTTTTAACTTACAAGAATGATTGACATACAGCTCAAATTGGCAAACCAGCTTGACTGGATAATTTTTCTTTCTTGTTATCTTTCTTGTTATCTTGTTTTTGTATTATTGCTATTATATCTCTGTACATTTTCACCGGCTCATTCTGGTGTAGAAAGTATGAATAAAGCATATAAACTATTTAGCCTCAGCAGGCTCCAACCCACTGAAGACATACATGACCCACTGAGGATCGACAGGCATTTTGGGTACTGTTGGGTTGAAGTCAGGTCACAATACATGTTTATTTCAATTTGAACCTCCTAACAGTTTAATGACTATTAGTAACAGGATTTATCACTTATGCTGGAATTAGTGAACATTATAGGATTTAGTTTGCTACACTAGATTGAGAGTTTGGAACTGATCAAACGCTAACTTTATTTGTTAATTTGCAGACGACATTCCTGTTGAAAAATGGCTGTTTGTTGTTTATCATCAAGTCAATCTAAATTCAATTTTGAACCATTGTTTGTCATCGTACTCTTGCTGTTAGCAGGTAAGTTAGAGTTAATATGCAGGGAATAATGAATGTAGCATATCGCACTAATGTGATCTTTTCAAATTGTAATTAGTAAAGGATTTAACTGCAGAAGAAAAATATGCAGTGCTAATTGAATTACTAATACATATTGCCCTGATTTGCTGGAGTTTCAGGTAAGAAGTGGATGCATGTTTAAATAATGTAATATTGATTTTAGAATTCAGGGATTTATTTTACAACTCACCCAGACTTCTTCCCAAGCAGTCTTAGGGAAAACGTTGATATAAAAATTTGGGTAGGATCAACAATTTAAAAGTTTGGTGGTACCAGTTCAAACTTTTACCCTTCCTGTGCATAGGATCAGCAAAGGCCAAAAGTTTTGGCCATTTCTGTTGACCATTCTATTTCAAGGATTCAGATTTTTGTCAGGTACTTTTAAGTTACTTTGCTCTTTACCATGAGGAAAAAAAGTTTACAGTGTACATAACATATTTTTTTAAGTTTCCAAATCTTAAATACCTTTTTCTTATATTTCAAATATATACCTTTTATGTTTTTAGTTTCTGGAAATGGATCACAAACTACAGTTGTTGGCATACCTGGAGAAACAACAACATTGCAGTGCACATACTCAGCATCAGGAAGATTAAATGATGTCAGCTGGTTCAAGGGCACTCAGCAACTACTTTCACAATATCGAGATGGTGAACAATTTCTCTTTGGCCCTGATAAGGCCAGACTATCTGGGACATTGTCAGAAAGTGCGAAAACTACCACACTTAATATCCAGCAGACACAATGTCCAGGAGATGAGGGACAGTATAGGTGTGAGGTGAATGTGAGAGGAGCACCAGAAGAGATAAATTTACTACAGCTGATGATAAAAGGTGATCAATCATGATTTATTTATTTATATTTCATTTCTTCCTGACTTTCTTTTTCTCCTTCTGCCTCTCTTTATTTACTTCTGAAAACGTTAAACTCTTTATTTTTTTTTCATTTGACTCCCGTTAAAAAGCTTTGGGAGTCGTCATCAGGGGCGGATTTAGGCCGTCTTCTGGGTCTTCTGGAAGACGGTCAGATTTTCAAGTTTACATTGTCGGGCATCTAATATTTTCTGTTGGAAGACGGTCAATAATGGAGGATGGATCAACAAAGATAATTTGGAAGACTGTCAGAAAATATCTCTGGATCCGCCCCTGGTCATGACTCTCAAAATAAAAAGCCTAGGGGAAACCCTGTAAAATATTGGTGACTGTTGTAGAAATTAATTTTGAAACAACACTGTGGGAGTGTATATATAACATTTGTGGATGTTTAGTGAAAAATTACTTTAAAAGCATGTATATCTGCCCACTGTTGCACTGTGCTATAATCAGCTGTTTTATGAAAGCTGTCCCCTGCTAAAATTTGTTTCATTTAACATCACATACGGTTCTCAATCTATTCAAGAACATTTGGTGTATTTTTATTACAGTACTGTTCTAATGTTGTTCTGTAATGAATGTAACAGTTTGAGAACTGTTTTTGGTAAGTCCTTCAGAATGTCCTAGAATAGATTAAGAATATTTTTCATTAAGAGAGAAAAACATGTTCTAGGGCAGATTGAGCACCATAAGTGAGTGTTCAATGCGACAATTTTTTGCAGGGTGATCTATGTGTCAGTGAGAGGGGCAGTGAGGGATGTGTGGCTGTCATCAAATGTTGTAGTGACAGAGTTATAAAAGCAAACACATGTCTGAACTGATCTGAGGCACTGCTGCTTGTCTGCTTATGACATTCATTTGTTTTCACTGATCTGATCAATATACAGTAACACTGTCTCAGTTGCACAATTTAAAGATATCCTATTCAGGAACGTTTTGGCTGCAAATTTTTTTTCCCTGGATAATAATATATGAACAGAAAAATTATTAACAAATTCCTTTCACTCATGAAGATATAAGTACGTTGCTAAGCAGCATATGTAAACATAAAAACAACAGACATTTTCATATTTTCAGTTTGTCTTTATTCAAAACTAACCTGCATTATCAGCATGACATGCCATTTCTGGTAAATTTTGAAAAGGCAAGTGACTCGGTATGAAAGTGACTTCATATTTTGATAAATTTTTTTCACAACTGTTTCAATGCAAGATATGAATAACTTTGACTTTAACTGGTACTTTCACGAAATAAACTATAAAATTATATCAAACTCACTTTAAGATTTTTTGTTTTAGCATTAAAACTACACATATAAATATAAAATTAAAAAATATATTTAAAAATACTGACTACAGAGATACTTTCAGTCAAATTGTATTTTTACTTACATCAGTGCAAAGACAGATGAGCATTTGACCAAAAATGCCACGAGTGGAGAAATGTAGATTAGATATCAAGCTCTTGGTGCATGTACGGTACACTAGTGCCAGTAATGATAGTATTTGTTTCCTCATAGATGATCAGCATATTTATAACATGTTTAAGTGATTGCATTATTGCTAGTGTTGTTACATAACTTTGTTATATCCAAATAACTTTTAAGATTGAAATATATATATGAGTTGGAACATTGATAGATTTGCAGACAGTTAGGATTATCCTTACTGTATGTTTTTACCCAAATTAAATAGAAGTTTTACACACTAGCTAGAGTCTTAACCCTAGCTGCAGGATTAGTGGATATCATATACATGCCACATGATGTGGGTAGTGATCATACAACCAGACATAAAACATTAGATGTAACACACAACACCAGGAATTAAGCAGGAACCAACTTCAGTTGCTACACTTTTCTGGTTTATGATCAGGGACAAGATCCCAAATTTTTGGCATCAACTGTAACTAAAGATATTCTAATCAGATGTTTAGTCAAGACGTGAAGGAAATGCCTCATTTAGGAAGCTGATGAAGTGTATTACAAATACTTTTCTTGTTCTGAGATAACCCCCTGGGGAGCACACCTGTATTTTAGGTCACCTGATTTCTAGGTGTCATCCAAGGTGAACAGACACAGGTGTACTAGTATACCTACAAGTGTGTGGGGGTGGGGGTGGGGAATAGTATCCAGAGTGATTAAAATATATGCTGGTACCAAATGCCTTGTGGAGAAAATTAATAAAATTCAAAATTTTTTAATTTCTTTTGGAATGATTAAGTTTTTAGAAATTTTATGAGAATATATATCTGCTTTAGACAATTAGAACTGTAAGTCACAAAAATTTCAATTATTGTGTTTTTTTAAAATGCAGCTCTAGCAGATGTCTGTATGGTTTGTGTACAATATTTTTGATTTTGATTGCTATTTTTTTCATACATTTAATTACAATGTACTATAGATAGTATAGGCAGTGTTTGTATATTCCAGTGGAGCCCAGTGAAGTCCCTGTGTTGACCACCCAGCAATTAAATGACCAGGGGTCAACAAAGTTCATGTGTTCTGGTCAGCTTGGACGTCCAGCCAAGGGGATCACATGGTACCGGACTCTGAATGGTCAGCAACAAAATAGGACCTCAGAGGCTCAGTCAAGTGACCCTGTCCTGAATGGTGATGGTTGTACATATAATGGACAGAGTGAGCTAAGAGTAGATGTCTCGGCCTCTGATGATGGTGCACAGTTTACATGTATGATTGGACAGAAGTCAGCCAGTGTGTCACTTAGTAAGTAAAAATCAGCAGTAATTAATGAAGTATATCTAGGAAAAGAATTGTGCTGCAGTACTGTATAGTCACAGGGGCAAATCCAGAGCTATTTACTGACAGTCTTCCAAATTATCTTTGTTGATTCATCCCCCAATTTTGACTGTCTTCCAACAGGAAAAATTGGATACCCGTCAATGTAAACCTGAAAATCTGACCATCTTCCGGAAGACCCAGAAGATGGCCTAAATGCGCCTCTGAGTCATGCTAACATAGATTTAGTGAAATGCATAAAATTTAAATTCTTGTTGGTTTACCATGATGCAGAAAGAAAATGCTAAGAAATGTCACTCCTGTCAGCATATCTCGCATTAAATAAGTTCTGACATTTTGATTTTGTTAACATTATCCAGTTACTAGTGATTTGGCTATTGTAAATTATATCCTTGAACAAGGAGCTTACTGGTAGTTTTAGACTGCATTTCCACAGATTTTAGATTGATCTATCCCCATGGGGAGTCTCACTAGTTTACTATCAGCTTAGCCGGCTTAAATGTCTGTCCCGCCTACTAAAAGCTGTAAGGGGGTAATTAACTACGGTGCGTGCTCGGCTAACAGCACTTTAGCATGAACCCCAAGGGAGTAAGGTTGATCCAGATGGATCGATCCAGACTGTGGGAATGCAGTCTTAGAGACCATTCTCAGACCCTATTGTACTAACTTTGGGTCGAACTATCTCCAAGGAGATTCTAGCTTAATTGCAATTAACTTAAGCGACTTAGACGTCTGTCACACCATCTGAAGCTGGAAGGGGTAAAACAATCATTTAGCAGCTTTATCAGGCGTACCAGACATCTAAGTCACATAAGCTGAAAACAATTTACTAGTAGTGAGAAACCCCATAGAGATGGACCGATCCTGTTAGATCAATCTCGGCATGGAAATCCAGTCTTAGTTTATACGTACCAGATAGCCCTGACCTGTATTTATTTTTCTTATTAAAAAAAAAAAAATCCTAATGATTGTTTAAGATGATAGTATATAGTTCTACCATAGCTTTTTAAAAATCAGCAAAGATTTGTGTCATGGTTTGAATCCAGATATGCCTCATTTTAGACAAAAATATGGCTGTCTGTGATACAATGACACTGCAATATTTCAGCTGCTGCCAGCAACCCTGAGATCACCTATACCACCACAGGTGCCCTCCCCATCATAGACTCAGCAATGGGCAGTGTGGAGTTTGTCAAAGGTTCAGCCGTCACTCTCATTTGCTCAGCCACTGGTGACCCTCAACCTAAATTCAAGTGGTTTTATCGTGAAGAGCTATCCAACACCAGAGAAGCACGAAGCGGAAATCGTGATAACTCGTCTGTTCTTAATCTTTATTACATTCAGAAACCTGGATACTATGAATGTCAGGCCAGTAACATTTTGAACCAGTTGAACAATCTTCCAAGCAAGGTCCTGAGAATTACACTGTCCTCCCCCGCCACAGGGTCGTAACCAGAACTTTTGAAATTGTATGCACAGATTTTTCAAAATTCCCAGATACAGACTTAAGCAACAGATAAAGGGCAGATTAAAATATATGTGCCAAATATCATAGATTTATTTTCACCAGTTATAAAATCATTAAAGTTAAAATTATTCCCAAGATTTAGTTAAGTTCATGTATATTATTTCACCTAGAATCAAGGCTTTTTCGTGGGTCGGGGTACAGGCCGTCCAAATTAGAGGGGTTAAAAATTGAATGAAAAAAATATTTAAAAAAAAAGAATAAATCAAGGGGGAAGGGGGGTTATAAATAATCCATAATGATCTCTGGCTGACCCTCTTTCACGAACAAACTCTCTAAAATAACAAGGCAGCAAAGCTGTCAAATGTACAGACAAAAAGCAGGAAATAACAAAATAGGCTACTGTCAATTCTGATGTAAAAGTACATTATGTTAAACTGCAAATTCAACATCAAATTTTAATTATGCTCAACAGGTAATACCAATGTAAGTAAAATGTGTAACAAGCATAAGGCTTCAGGCCCATAGGAGTTCAAGTTCACACTTTGAAAATGTAAAACTTCCAGAAAAAGAAGTCAATTAGACTGCTTTTCCAACTCGAGCTACATTTTAGTCCTGTGTTTCTTTTTTAAAAGTTTGACAATCATAAGTAATATGGTTTTCCCATGATGGTCATCATGGCAGCAATACCCAAAATTGTGTTTTCTTCTATTTTGATGCAATATTTCATAATGCTTAACAGCATAAAGACCATCAGTTTTTAATAATAAAATATACGTATCGTGGATTTTCAGAAAATGTGACTAGCATGGGTCTTCAAGCCCAAGGTGGTTCTAAGTCACACCTTGAAATTGCCAATATGTGAAAAATTAAATTTTCACAAAAAACTGATTAACTGCCAGAAAAATTTACCAAATAGACTGCACTGCCTAATGAAACTGTATTTTAGTCCCATGTTTCTTTCCTGTAAGTTTGAGAACAGTAAGTGACATAGTTTTCCTTAAATGGTCATCAAGGGAGCAGTGTCCAAAATAGGGGTTTCTTCAAATTTTGATGCAATATTACATAATGTTTAACAGGATAATAACCATCAATTTTTAATAATAAAATATTAGTATCATGGATATTCAGAAAATGTGACTAGCAAAGGTCTTCAGGCCCATGGAACTTCAAAGTCACACCTTGAAAATGCCAAAATGTAGACAAGACAGTACTGTCCTGAAATGCATTTTTTTCCATTTTTAACAATTTTTTAACATATAACAAAATTAACACTTTACTGCCATTTTTATATGATCAACTAAGAAAATTGATGAGATGGGAAAAATATCAATAGAACAGTGTTTAATGTCCAATTTCCTCCATTCTGAGTTTCTGAACATAGTGAATGAATGAATGAATCTGACAAACTGCAATGATAAGAGTTTATTTCCATTTTTGAAACTCTATTATACAATACATGATAACAAGCTTACCATCATTTTTACATAATCAACTAACAATGTTGTAAAGATGCAGGAAATGTTAAACAAAGACTTTTACGTATCTTATTAGTTAAATGATGAGACTGTTAACATGCCTAAGAATTGAATCTGAGGAAATGTGAAACAAGACAGTACTGTTATGAAATGCGTTTATTTCCATTTTTAACACTTTTTTAACATAAAACAAAATTAACAGTTTACTGCCATTTTTATATGTTCAACTAAGAAAGTTGATGAGATGTGAAAAATATCAATAGAACAGTGTCAAATGTCCAATTTCCTCCATTCTGAGTTTCTGAACATAATGAATGATTGAATCTTACAAACTGCAATAATATGAGTTTATTTCCATTTTTGACACTTTATTACACAATACACGATAACAAGTTTACCATCATTTTTACATAATCAACTAACAATGTTGTAAAGATGCAGGAAATGTCAAACAAACACTTTTACGTATCTTATTAATTAAATAATGAGACTGTTAACATGCCTAAGAATTGAATCTGAAGAAATGTGAAAAAACAGCATAACTTATAAAATAATGGCCCGATTATGCTGATTTTCGAACTTGACCTGCGTTTTAGTAAGATTGATTACTCCTGTGAGTTTCATGACAACAGGCCTATCAGTTTTCTTTGAAATGTGTTAACAGTGTTGCATATATGCTGAAAAGTGAAAAAACAGCATAACTACTAAAATGGTGGCCCGATCATGCCGATTTTCGAACTTGACCTGCGTTTTAGTAAGATTGATTACTCCTGTGAGTTTCATGACAACAGGCCTATCAGTTTTCTTTGAAATGTGTTAACAGTGTTGCATATATGCTGAAAAGTGAAAAAACAGCATAACTTCTACAATAATGGCCCGATCATGCTGATTTTCGAACTTGACCTGCGTTTTATGAATATTCATCAGCTCTGTAAATATAAAGCCAAAATGTAAAACTGTCTTCCACTTATGGTGTTAACGCTGAAAGTGCACGGCGACATCGACGGCGACATGAATGGCGACGGCGACGACAGACGCAGGTGATGGCAATATGTACAGACACATCTGTGTCTGTACATAAAAATGAATATGAATGTTGCCTTTTCCGTCTCGCTCAGATAGCGAACGATCTTTGGCTTAAGATCTTCCACGAACGAAGCCTTAAAATTTAAAAAAAATTTACAAAAAAAAAAGCTATTTTGGGCACTGTCAACACAAATGATTTGAAAGGAAAATTTTTCAATTTACTTATTATTTTCTTACTTACAAGAATGATTCTTAGGACTGACATACAGTTCACATTGGAAAACCAGCTAATTATAATTGTTTTTCTTGGATTTATGCAGTTTGTGAAATTTGTATCTTTCTCATTCTGGCATTTTCAGTGTGTGAATTTAAACTCTCATTGGCCTGAATCCATCTGATAGTTACATGTTCAAATTTTTACAGTCTGTAAGTTACCCATTGTGCATAATTAAAATTTGGTGCTGACTTTGCTGTTTTTCTACATGCACTGTTATAATACTGTTGTATGCATGCACAAGGAGTTGAAAAGATAAACCAAGTGAAGTGTCAACATGAGTTGTTGTTGGTCAGTATAGTGCATAAAGTGTTGATTTTGATCAAATACAACAAATTAAACTGATCTAGTAATACTGAAATGGCTTTTAAATATCTGTTCCTTTAGGTAACTATACAAATACTAGCAATAATGCTGGTGCTTCATATTAATAAGTAGCTAAAGAGTGCAAAGCCAACTCTCTAGATTCCATAATTTATTTAAATGAAGAGATTGGAGATGGTGAAAGCCTGTGAAAATAAAGAAGGTTGATCTTGTATTTTAAGCTGTGTTGTCTTCAAGATTCCCTTGGCCATTTATGCATGACCTTGATCTAAGAGATTTTCCGAAAATTTAAGAATCAAGTTCCAGTTTACACTAGACTTATTGTGTGCGTGCATGTGTGTCATGGCGTATACCACGATGAATTAACCAGTTTGGAATCATATGTGCAAGTATGTATCATCAATAAAAAGGGCATTTGAAGAATGTAAATAAAGGCAATAACTATATTAAAGCACAATACTTTCTTATTAAATATTATAATTTTATTTGCCAAATAGTAAAAAGTAATAAAAATATTAAATATTCATGAGAAAAAGGAAGAGAAGAACTCGAGTTATGGGTGCGACAATAATGGTATATATGTAATTCATCACTGGACGATAGAGGCAATCTATGCCAAAAAAAGACCTGTACAGTGCCGCCTGTTACACATATAAACGGTGTAAAAAATATCAAAGCTTTATGCTTAAATTAAGCCCCACTAAAGTAACCTAGCTGTTTCATGAAAATACTTTATTGTTTCATTTTTGAGAAGCCAGAACCAACTCTCAAAACAAGGAAATTGAATCTAATGTTATGTTGGCTCATTCTAGCCCAATCAAAACATCTTACATCACTTTTAGCTGCAATAAACCCTTAATAGATCTATATACTACTCTTTACCAGGGCTGTAGTTATCATTGTGGACATTTTTTGCTGAGGTGACCCTGTTACGTTAGGCCAGGAGGAAACAATTAACTCTGCCCGCGCGCAGGCTTTGTACTCGCTCTGCAGGAGCTACGCTTTGCATCGATGTATTAACTGCTCGTTACGCAACCCGTCTAAGGCTCCGCTATCTGCTGAAACTAGCCACGTGATTAAGGCCATAGCAATTAACTGTCTTGATTGCTGTCAAGCGGACTTAGACTGGACCTGCCAATTGGCAGTACCTGAGCAGTTATGCAAACAATTACCAGCCATGCAATCAGCCTTGAGATTCCATTACAGGGTGACATATCAGACCAAAATGACTGTATACATTTGTCTATTTATATAGAGACATACCTGTGAATATCTGTGGAAAATCAATCTGTTGCCCTGGTAGAGGGTATATATATAGATCGATCTATATACCATTTCCAATAGATTGTGCTAATTACCAGACAGTACAGTCACTTTGCAATCCAAAGCATGCATGCTCTCTATAATGAGAAGATTTAAAGGGGTCCTTTGGGTCAGTCTGAGCCAACTCCCATGGTCAGTGAATAGCCAACACTTCATAGGAAATTATCTTGAAAAATAAGTACCATGCATGGAACTTTTGACAGTCAAAATGGTTTTTATGAGTGCATTCAGAACACTGGACTGATTGACCCCTGGATCAAATATGGCCACCAGCTTAAAAACTTGCCTCTTAATTCACGATTAGACACTGGATAGATTCCCCTCAGAAATTACTCAATTAACAAGCATGCAAGTGGGTCGGCCATATTTGATCTGTGGATCTGTTAGTTCGCTGTTCTGAATACTCTCTTTTAACGCTCCTTGCTAAAAATAAAACTGCTATTTGGTTGCTATGTGTCACAAATAACAGCGCTACTCCCGCCCTTGAGTGGACATTTTAAACTCGTTTTGGCAGACTGAATATTTTGCTTTCAAATATGAGTATATATTCACTCTGATATACATGTATCTCATATGATACTGAGTATACCTCGACCAGGGCAACAGATTGATTTTTCACACATGTTTCGAGATAAACAGACAGTCATTTGGCTCTGTGTGGATTTTCCCGTTTTTCTTTATATAATCTGCCACCCTGGTATAGAGGGTATACTCATGATATTGGGCAAAGCTACAATGTCTACTGATGACCGAATGAGACCACATGTATTTGAAATATTCTTCAACATTTTTCTTCCGCATTGTACTTGTCGATGTCCTCGTACAGTTTTTCCTCAAACTTTCCCAGAGTAAGAACATCGCTGTCTGAGGCCAGGAGGACATCCAAGGAATTAACGATGTCTTTAAATGTTGAACGTGCACTTGGGACCTCTTCCCAGCAGGACGACATGATGATGTACCTGGAGTGAGAAGTAACACACAGGGAGTCGGACTATAAGTAATTGAGACATTATTGCTCATGATTCAGTAAAATTAAACTTGCCAAGCATTACAATTTGTAATACACATACATATTTATATATCAAAATTAACATTGTATACTTACATGCCCAGTGAACAGTGTGGTGGTTGTGGCATCCGGTATCCTTCAGTTATAGCTTCCATCACCTGCTTGGCTGACATACCAGGATAGGGACTGGAACCTAACCAATACAAGCAGCAGTGAGAATTGTACTCATGTAAAATACTGCAAAAATTGTCACTAATAAATAAAAGAAACTATACTTAGCAATCTGATCAAGATTACTGAAGATACACATTGTGTGAATGAAAATTCAGTGCCAAATATTACACAAATGATAATAATGATAATATTAATATTCAGACAGATAATAATTATAATAACATTTATTATTTACTTATTCATTTACTGTTTGCACCACATTCCTGGGATACAGAAGATATTTATTGAAAGGATACAAGATATTGAATAACAATCTGTAATTCTCAAAATTAAAATACAACAGTCATACATGGCATCAGAAAAGCACAATAACCCCTTGAACAATAGAACACAAGTGATCACAGTTTCACAATGCTTGTTTGCTAAACCTTCTTTCAATATAATAACATGTACTTTCCAAGACTTTTATGAGCTTCACCATCTGGCAATCTTACCCAGTGTGACAATCTCCCAGAGCAAGACGCCATACGCCCAGACATCAGACTGTGTGGTAAATATGTTGTCAAATAGAGCTTCTGAGGACATCCAGCGAATTGGCAAGCGTCCCTGTGAAAGAAAAACATAAAACGTACCTTATATCTGTCAAGTGGTTATTGCAATTGTCATTTGATAACACCTGTCTATTTACACATCCTTACAATGCATTTAAAAATATGCAGCTATACTTTAATTGGCAAACACTAAATATATGCTGCTTAAAATTGTACATCCCCTGGGGTTGATTGAGGCCGTCTTCTGGGTCTTCCGGAATCATGTAAATCACGAGCAGTAACACTTCTTGAAGTCTGCTAGTACTGATAATGGATAAAATAACTATCCAAGATTGCTAATGCTAAGTTTCAGGTCAGAATGCAAAGTAAATATATTTTGGTTTTTATGTACAAAAGCATTTACTAACCTGCGATTGTTTTTCGTAAGTGTGGGTTTTGATGACATCCTTTGCAAAGCCAAAGTCCGAAATCTTGCAGGTCCTATCTTCAGCTACCAAAATGTTTCGTGTAGCAAGGTCTCGGTGGAGAATCTACAATGTAAATATTGAGATTGTTGATCTCACAGTGTAATGAAAATAATAGCACATCTTATTTTCTTTTAAAGTTTATTAGAAAGTGATCTTTACTGACTATGAGGCAAAAAATGGTAATATAGAAAATGGACAAAATAAGCAATAAGAAAGAATTATCTGCTTTCATAAGACAATTGTTTATCCTAGCTTACCGCCATTGATGAAAGATATGACATTCCATTAGCCACATCTAATGCAAACTTTATCAGATCATGTGGTGTCAAGGAGGAGCTGATCCCATGTAAATTCCCATACCGCACTTCCCGTTTTGAACGGTCATTTCGTAGGTAGTCCTGGAGATTTCCATTTGGAAGGTACTCGACAATAATCAATGGCACAGCTAAAATAAATCACTTCAATTTATCTTCAAAGAATTTGTCAATTTACTTTAAGGTTGGAAGTTTACCATTTATATACAGGTGTTCCAAAGGAAGCTATTGAAATTGCAAAAAAAAAGCAGAAAAAATTCTGAAGTAAACGGGTTCATACTCAGTACTTTACTTTTATGGTGCGTATTCTTCACCACTGACGTAATTATTATTAACGCAGTTATATGTCTACATACCATCATCTCGAGTGCAGGATCCTAAAAGCTCAACCACGTTTGGGTGAGTTTGGATTTTCAACATCACTTTCAGTTCTTTCATCATCTCACTGCAGAGGGATGTGTCACTTGTATCTACAAATATAAGTTTATCTTATTGAAGAACATGCTGAAATCATCTGACTTTTAATGGACTGAAGTATCATATCGCAACTATTGTTGAAATCAATATTTACCCTTTGCAGTTTTAACAGCAGCAATGCTCCAATTGTATTTTCCATCTAGATTGAAAATGCTGCCCCTAAAGACTTGGCTAAAAGCCCCGCTTCCTATCTTTTCCATCAACTTGATATTCTGTCTTCTTATCTCCACATCTCTCTCCAGAATCTCTGCATACAGTGGCTCTTCCATCGGCTTAAACTTTAAGATTAAATTCATATAAATATCAACATCAATACAAGGCATCCAGATGAGACTGGGGGTCTCAAACAAACTGTTTTTTTTTTTTTTTTTGTCAGAAAAAGTTTAGAACTGGGTAAAATTTGATCTAGAAACAAAAAGGCTTAATGGCAAAAGGTGTATTATTTAGGAAAAGACCACCCCCACTCTGAAATGGCAGGCTACGGACCTGAATCATAATTTCCACAAACTCTTATACAGCATTACATGACATTATGTAACATTACCTTTTGTTGCTCTGTGCTAAGGTTGGTGTTGACAGGCCTCTCGTATGCCTCCTCATTACGACTTATCTACAAAAGCAGGAAAACAAGCATTAATACTTTTTTAAACAGATTTATTTCTACAATAATGATATATACAAAATAAATAAATTCAGAGCAGGCGGCATGTCGCCACATCATAATGTGCTAGCTGCGGTATTATAATAAATTGTAAATAAATAGATTAACTATAATTATATAAAGTAAATAATAATGCATTATTTTAAATTAAAGTAAATAAATGAGTTAAATATGATAATATAGAAGTAATAATAATAATTGTGATAACACGATTAGTACGCATATAAATATTGGTGACAGCAACAAGGAAGGGGGCCTAGGCACGGGGAGATGTATGCGGGAAGTGATGGACTAGCTGATCAGGAGAGGGAGACGGGTGGGTGGACTTGTCAAAGCATTTAAACATTATCAATTAAAAATGTCGAAACAATGTCAAAGACTTAATACTTCATTAATACTTCATAATTAAGGACATTGTAACCCTTTATTATCATCCAATTACCAAAAATGAGTTTTTTCCTGCATCTAATTATTCAATAATGCAGCTATCTTTGTGCTAATTTAAACAATGAAAAAAACCCTCAAAATATAAAATATCAGCGTTTATATTTTTTTCGTTGCAATGTATAAGCACAGGCAACTCAAAACTTTAATCATTAATTTAACACCTTCCTATTTTGAGGTGAGATAGCAATTGGTATGGGGCATAACTTCATCCCTGATTTTCATTATAAACAAAGGCATTATTTTGCTTTATCAAAGATAAAATCTGAACTAAGACTTTTAAGAAAACATTATCACTGGCAGGGTTTTGGAGTACTAAATGGTGTCATTAAATTGGAGCTGAAATGGTGACCGTGGGTGCTCAGGTAAAAGAGAAATTTGAGAAACTGATTTTTCAGTTTTTTTACCCTAAAATCACAACAATGACTTCACCCATAAGATGACATATAAGTAATTGTTAAATAATCTAGTCACTGAACACTGAAGATCTATTACTCAAAAGAATGTAAGGCAAAAATAAGAAGTTTTGGTCGAAGGGTGACAATATCCTTAACATTTCATTCTTTTAAAATTACAATCACATGACATTATATAATATTCATACTACACTATTTCACCTGTAAATGGTTAATTTCAGTTTATTTCAAAGATAAAAGTAATAGCTGTTATCACATGCAACCCATTACAAAGGGACTGTACTATATACTACAGTATACTGTAATTCACAGACTTTATGACCAATCTTTAATCCAAACCCTGCATTTTTGAGTATGACATTCACCTCTCCACTCAGAAAACTCTGAAGCTCACTGTCTTCAACTTCATCCTCTGCGTTGTTTTCTTGCGACACTACAATGAAAAAACGGATGGGCTTTACACACATGCATCTTCAAATGGGGGGGAGGGGGGATCATGGAAAATTTGGGAGCAAGTTTTATGAGCAAAACATAATAGGAGGAAATGAAACAGCTTAAATGTTTAAATTACAGAAATAAATCTGAAAAGTTTGTCACTTCAAAAATTAATTAATATTTTGAAATGCATAAATCGGACATAGTCATATTGGGTGAAAAACTTTTGAAAATTATTGAGAGGTCCATTCTCAAGTTTGAGATTTTCAAAGTGAAAAAATGTACTTTTGTTTTCCAATGAAATTTTCAAACCCAACAAAATTTTCAAATTTTTACAATAACAGGGGTATATCCATTATAAAGTGTGTAATAAGATTTAATTATCAGTTGATCTTAATCTAATTTATTTTTCTGGATTCAAAATTACNAAAATTTTCAAAACCAACAAAATTTTCAAATTTTTACAATAACAGGGGTATATCCATTATAAAGTGTATAATGAGATTTAATTATCAGTTGATTTTAATCTAATTTATTTATCTGGATTCAAAATTACTTTAACCTTTTTCGCCAACTCTTGTTTTCTGTTTCTTCTTGACACAGTAAGTGTAGGTGACACAAGCCAAGACAATAATCACAATGGCCCCCAGGATGGCCCCTATTATCCACCCTATGGCCTCTACAGATAGACCCTGGGCCCCCACTGTGGTCCCAGTAGCTGGCTCTGAAATGATGTCAAGAAAACCAATGGTATTCCCCATTCTCCTCATGACAGATTAATTCTGAGCATTCCTTTGAAAACAATGCAATACGAAGGTTTCCTTGGGAATACTAATGACACTCATTTATTTACAACTACATGTATCACTTATTAATAATTATAACTTACCTAAAAGCTAAAAGCTATGAACCACATATAACTTATTGTTAAAGCAATAATAACTCTTCCTTTGAGATTCAAAATTCCGCAAGAAATGCATTCTAAACAACACAGAGAAATATATTATATTGCATTTCACCACTAAAACGGCTGTTATTATAGTAAAACTAAAAACTGTGCTTGTCAATAGGGCTTTCGGTGCCTTTCTTCTCGATCGTCAAGGCATCCGTTGCCAAGGATGTTGGTGCATCACGCGGATTCTCGCGTGCATTTCAAGACCAAAATAGCATGCGGCGGGATAAGATATAGCAGACGTAAGTTGCGAGTTTTTGTACAGTGTGTCGGATAACGAAAAGCCCAGAACTGCACACGTTGTAGAAATAATTCCATTCTGAGCAATAAGACGATTATATCGTATGAATCTTATTTTATTGTAATAAAGTGTTGTTGTTGTCTGCTTTTCCCGCGGTTTTAAGTAGGTCATCAGAAAACCCCGCTCGTCTGAGAGAGCTCCGTCAGTTAAAATCACTTAAGAGATTTTAACAAAAAACCAAGCGTTTAGGAAAAAAACCCTGGACTAACTTTGAATGCAGAAATGGGGTCGTTGACCATTGGTAAGTACGGGGAAATTGCCGTTTACGTTAGGAAAATCCAATTTTTGGCCAAAACGAAGAGTTATTATGACTTTAATTAAGATACCACTAACCCAAGGAATTTAAATCCCAGTAACTTACATATGTATATTAGAAAAGTAAATGAAATAGTAAATCATTTAAGTACCACTTTTTTCTGATAGTGTAATTCTCAAGACCTTGCTTGGTGGATCATTTAACTGGTTCAAAATGTTACTGGCCTGACACTCATAGTATCCAGGTTTCTGAATGTGACCTAGATAAAGCACTGAGGGGTTATCATGGTGTCCATTTAGTACTTCTGTGGTGTTGGAAAGCTCTTCCCAATAAAACCATTTGAAGCTTGGTTGAGGGTAACCAGTGGCTGAGCAAATGAGAGTGACGACTGAACCTTTGACAAACTCCACACTGTCCATTGCTGAGTCTATGATGGAGAGAGCACCTATGGGGGTATAGGTGATCTTAGGGTAGCTGGCAGCAGCTGAAATATTGCAATATTTAATAATAAAATTTAACTATCATGGATATTCAAAAAATGTGCCTAGCAAAGGTTTTAAGCCCATGGAGGATCAAAGTCATATGTACCTTGAAAATACCAGTATGTGAAAACTGAATATTTCACAAAAAATGTATAACTTCCAGAAAAATAAACCAGTCAGACTGGTTTTCCAACTGATCCTGTATTTTAGTTTGAGAATAATTAGTGACATGGTTTTCCTAAAATGGTAAATATGGTGGCAGTGCCCAAAATTGTTGTTACATTTTATCTAATACATACTTAGTGACACACTGGCTGACTTCTGTCCAATCATACATGTAAACTGTGCGCCGTCATCAGAGGCCGAGATATCTACTCTTAGCTCACTCTGTCCATTATATGTGCAACTATCACTATTCAGGACAGGGTTACTTGACTGTGCCTCTGAGGTCCTATTTTGTTGCTGACCGTTCAGAGTCTGGTACCATGTGATCCCCTTGGCTGGATGTCCAAGCTGACCAGAGCACATGAACTTTGTTAACCCCTGGTCATTTAATTGCTGGGTGGTCAAGACAGGGACTTCACTGGGCTCCACTAGAATATACACACATATGTATTTGCATATATTAGCTATAGCACAGTGTCATTAAATATATGAAAAAAAATCTAAAACAAGAATACTGTACACAAATGATACAGCTGAGATCTGCAAAAGCTGCATTAAAATACAATAACTGAAGTTTTAAAGAATTATTACACATTCTAGCTTTAGTATATGCATTTTTCTAAAATAAGTGCACTTTACCCTTCAAACCGTTTTTCAAATTATCTCAGAACCTTAATTATGGGTCCTTTGGATGGATACATGTAATTTGATATAGTAATTAAGTTAGGTTTCACAAAAAATTGGCATTTGCCATCAGAAGCCTCAGATTTGTGACCACCACTTTTTCTCTGAGCCCACGTCTTTACCCCAGTTTACTTCCAGCTAAAAATGACCACTCAGCTTCAATCCTGTCTCCTAGCTCCCATACCTTTTATTCAATTCCACAGTAACTACAAGTATATATGGGCCTAATAGTCAGCCAGTTTTGGCTATGGGTGTATCTCTGCTAGTTTTGGAGTATTCCACAGCCGATTCTCATCATCATTATTAATCAATCATAGCTAGTGTAATAAAATCTTTCTATACTTATGTAATGATAACTTTTTTTTTATAATGCACAAAATGCAATCCGCAATTCCATGGTTCATGTCAGCTTTATGTAAAGTTGCTCAAAGAAAACCCAAGGACACATATAATGACCAGTTTAACGGTTTACTTGATGATGCTCTCTAGCTCCATATGATCTACAGTACAGTACATGAAGTCTCCAACTTCTGAACCATCTCGCATGTCTCGCGTAAGTCTTCCTAGCTCTCCCAAGCAGTCACCCTCAGATTTCCTCTCTCTGAACTCCCAGATATTATTTCTGAATGTATAATACAAATTTCTTATCTAAATCCAAGAAATGGGGACATGTACAGGCCCTTGTGGTCTAGGAGAAGAAGCGGTAACTTAATTTGACTTGTTTCCAGCATCAGTCTGCGGGGCTGGGAGAGCCGTAAGATCGAGACGGGCCGGCACTATTACCATGAGTATTATATACTACTACTGTACTATATACTACAAAACATTGGCACATACTTCAATCTATGAGTCTGACAAACTGCAGGGCAATGTAACACTACATACAAGTATTCCTTCAATAAGAGATGTTGCATATGACCTACTGGCTTTTAAGAAAACATAAACTTACCACCTTCAGTTGTAATTTCCAGTTCAGTACTCCAAGGCCCAGCATCTACAGTGACTGCTCTCACTCTAAAACTATAAGTTGTAAAAGGCAATAAACCAGTGACTGCCACATATGTATCAGAGACATTCCCTTCCTTTGATACCAGACTTTCTTGTTGACATTTGGAAGTCACAGGACTTAGGAGATATCTGTATTCAGTAATCCTTCCATTCTTACATTCACAACTTGGTTCACTCCAGTAAAAGGTAGCTGTATTGTTATTGAATCTCACCATGCCTGGAGGGCAGCCAGGGGCTAAAATATAGTAACACGAAAATGCCAAATTTGTCAGAAAAATTATGTACAATAATTTAATTGTGCAACAGTTCACATCCACATTACAGGAAACCTGTATCAAATACAATATTTTAGATAAAAGTTATCAAAACATATTGCAATCATTAAGACAACAATTAGAAAACCATTCTTAAATCCTACCTGCTTCTACAGTCTTGATCTGTAGTGAATTTGGTTCCCCCTGAACTGCTCCAGAAATTGCTTTAATAGATATATCATACTGTGAATTTGGATATAATTTGGTAAATGTGTAACGTGTTGTTATTTCACTCAGTAAGGTAGATATCTGGAATTCTGACAATTGCCTGCATTCCCCCTGTAACCGGACTGCTGTAATATTGTACCCTGTTATGTACCCTGTTATATTACAGCCAGTAAATCTAGGCAGATGCCAATGAACAGTGGCTGATGTAGAGGTAATGGAGCCTGCTGTCAGTGAGGTAACTTGGGCAACAACTGAAATAGAAAGAAATGGAAAATTTCTTGATTTCTCTTAATTTACTTATCATAGGACCTTACTATATCAATCTTAGAAGGATGAATTTTCACCCAAAAATGGCAATTTTCCCACACTTACAAATTGTTATTGAATCCATTCTGACATTTATATATAGTAATTAAGTCTCTTTTTTTAAAGAGATAACAACTCTTTGTCTATATTTCACAATAAATACATTGTAAACAACTCAAAGAAATATTATGTAATTTCATTTTACCACAAAAACGCAGTTATAGCAATAAATATGAAATCTGCGATTGCCATCCAACCATGTGACCTCCACAGATGGCTATACTCTGTAATAATCTCTTAAGAGATTATTTAAAAAAACAAACTTTGTAGAAAAAACCAGGGACTATCTTTGAATGTAGAAATGGATTCATTAACCATTGGTAAGTATGGGAAAACTGCTGTTTACCCCAGAAAAAATTAATTTTTTGGCCAAAACAAACAGTGATTATCCCTTTAAGCTTGTTCTTTTTTGTAATAATCTCTTAAATGATTATTACAAAAAACTTAACAAAAAATATTACAGATGATAGTCACGTATGTGGTCTGAAGGCAAGCAGATTCCAGACTTAGTGCTATATATATATATATAAAATAGCTAATTTGGCAGTAAAATAAAATTTATTATAATTCTAAGAATTGCCTTCAATATATTTATTGTGAAATATGAGTCCTATATAAAAAGCTGTTATTCCTTTAGCAAAAAACATGTTTTGATTCTACATGCTAAACTACCAAATAAACATAGATGTTTTGTTAACAAACCTGTAGAAGTTAAAGTTGTTATGGTGTTTGCCCTTGAAAAGCCAGAATTGTCATTTTTATTTACAAGCTTTATCCGGATGCTCCAGTGTGTGCAGGCAGCAGTGTCAAAATCTTTGTACCTGGCATTGGCTGCAACTGTTTGTGTTACCTCATCAGCATCAGTTCCATTCTTATACCTGATTTTAATCTCTCTTCCATCCTGGCATTTCCAATCTTGATCAGTTATTTTCTTAAAAAGCAAATGTTAGGCTTTAATTTAGAAGGACCTTAATTATAACATAATTAATTACAACACTTCTTCAGTTTGCTACTAAGATAACTGTAACTGCTTTTTCTAAGACTTTTCTTAATTTTCATTCATGACATACTACAGCATTCTCTCAATATTAATACAGTGTGTAATATTTAAACTCACATTCCAAGTAACCCTGATAACTCTTCTATTAGAATCTAAAACCTCTTGTACATCAAACTGGCTGGAATGAAATCTACGAGGCTCTGAAAGTAATATAGAAAGGGAATGCATTAAAAAATTGTTTACAAATTCAATTTAGTAAAATCATACTTCATGTAAATATTTATTTATAATTAAATCAAATAAATATATAATTAAATTACTAAAAAACCCTCAAGCATGCTCAGGCATGTATAGAATAATAAATCAACTTACTGCCACACATTGTTTTAACTCGAGTAGTTTCATCCTCCAAAAAGGGGCCAGTTGATTATCATCTTTTCTTATCCTCACCCTCACCAGGTACACCATATCAGGCAGCAAGTTGGAAATAGTAACTTCACACTTGATATCACAATCTTCTGCACTCCTGTCTATAGATTGCCATGTATCACCAGGTAGTTCAGCATATTCTAATACATACTGGATTCCTTGCACACCAGACCTATTACATAGTCTAGTATTCCAACTAACTGTGATACCACTGGCTGTTGATGTGGCTGAAGGTTTCTGGCCAAGTGTACCTACAGAAAAAGTCCTTGTTACAGCTTGCAAACAGCAAGAATAAATAAAAAAAATTCCTTGTTTGACACATAAATTTTGAAATTATTTTGGAGGCAAAGCATCCTCTGTTCGTATGATCTGGTAATTTAAATTTCTTTCTTCATTTTTCAGTGAGTAAGACGTACATTCTTTCTCTGTAATTTCTTACATCAGCTTTTTGCCAGTGGTTAAAATTTATCTCATTTTTTATTTAATTTTGCCACACTGCATTACTTAAAAAATAACTCATTTAGGTAGCAAGCCTAAGACTACAGTACTCTACCATGAGCAAAAACAAAATTACTCCAGAATAACTTCTTCTAAATCATAACAATTTCAAAATTTAAACTTTTAAATTCTAAATATGGAAGTCATTATAAATAACCTATCACACTTCTCAATGTCACTGACACTGGGACTGCAAGCTCTGTGTACTTACAGTCCTGGCAGCCTGTTCCTCCCCATCCCACAGAACATCCACTTGTACAGGCACCTGTTTCCTTATTACACACCTCATTGCTGTCTCTACATCTACAGTCCTTGTCACAGTTGTTCTGGCCATCAAAGCGGTAATCAGGACAATCTAGATGATTGAAAAGACAAGGTCGTTTTGATTTTTAAATTATAAACCAAAGCAGTGGCATCACAGAATGGGACTGTTGCAGAAATAAACTACGAGCAAAATAGTTTTACACCTGGGTTCATTTCTGCAAAATAAATTCACGATCACATCGAATACAAGTATACTTGAATGAAGACCTAAACACACATGCCCACAAAAGGAAAGACCAATTTAGGAATTTTTGGAATAATCATTTATTAAATCTAACTTAAACATCATACACCTATACTCACCACATTTTCGTATATCACAGTAAATAAATCCGCCATTAGTATTACAAAAGGGTTTTGCTCCTGGATCCCTTTCTGAATTCCTGCAGTAGTTCTTTGCTAATGTTACGTTCATCTCAGAAACATCATCATTCTTTAGTTTGTACTGATTACTGGGATCAGTCCACAAATTACATGTTGATGTGCCATCTCCTGATAACTTCCCAGCATATTTGAAGCCCCCATTCCTTGAATCATCACAGCAGTCATAATAGCAAGATGAATCTTGAAGAAATATAATACCAGCAGACTGTTACAGATTGTAAAATTAATCCCAAAATATTTTAAGTAGATGCATTTATACAAGGCCACCACTTATATCTATAATTTTCCAATTAGAAATTTCTTTTTTCCCATTTGTCTAAAACCAGCATTGGTGCCATTTGATTTATCATTTTAAAATCATGCATTTAATAATGATTGATTTGGTTTAGCCCTGTTTGTGGCCTCAGAGTATGTTAGAATATACTTTACAGAGAGTATGTTATTTTCTTGACTTAAATCAAGGAGTTATAACAGATAACTCCTTGCTTAAATCATATAGAAGTTCTAGGGTTATTCCAACAGTTTATCAAATCTATTGTTCACCAGACATGAGCCTAGGTTCCAAAAATAAAAACCTTTGAACATTTATCATGCCCCCCCCCCCCCCTAGATTTTATTGCAAATCTTGATGAATCTCAGCTAGGAACCATCAGAATTGAATTAAAAAGAAATGAATTCCAAGTTTCTGCAGAAAAAGCATATTTCTGGTTTACCTAGCAAGCATCCAGGTCCCCAGTTGTTTCCAGCACAACCACTGGGACAGAAGCCAGTTCTTTTGTCACACACTTCTCCATCTGTAGCACATTGGCACTGAAACTTGCAATGCCAGCCAAAGTACCCATCATCACATTGGTAGGGGACATAAATCTCTGCTGTGAAATGGAATTTGAAACATATATATAATCAAAATTTGTAGGAGACATAGATCTCTGCAATAAAATGGAAAATTATCAAAATGTATGAATCTGCCTGTTCATGATCACCATGAAGTAAAATACAAATATAAAACAGCAAAATACCAATAATGGATTTTTTAGCAAATGTAAAAATGTTTCAAACAAATGCAAAAATAAAGATTTATACAATTATCATTTCACAATGCTTGAGAATGTATATATCCAAGGACGCAAAAATAAAATAATAAACATAAACAGGGCAGCAAAGACGTCAAATGCACAGACAAAAAGCAGAAAATAATGGTGCAAAAATAGGTTGTTTTGTCAGTTTTGATGCAATATAACAGCAAAATCAACACTAAATATTAATTATGCACAACAGGTAACTTGAACAACAACATATGAACATGTTACTACCATATATAAGGCTTTCATACCAATGAGTATTCTAATTCACACACTGAAAATGACAGAACAATTCAATCAGGCTGGTTTTCAAATATGAGCTGTACAGTACGTATGTCAATCCTAAGAATGTCATTTGAACTAAATGAGCTTAAAGGGATAATAACTCATGATATGAGATCTATATTTCACAATAAAAACATTGTAAACAACTCATAGAAATATAATATATTCTGTTTTACCATAAAAACGGCAGTTATACATGTAGCTATTATTCTGATATCTGAGCTTGTCATCAGACCACAAGCCCTCCATAGATAGCTATACTTTGTAATAATCTCTGAAGAGATTTTAACATAAAACGAAACTTTTTAGAAAAAAAAAAAAAAAAAAAAAACACTGAATAAATTTGTATGTAGAAATGGATTCATTAGCCATTGGTAAGTATGAGGAAATTGTTGTTTACTCTGGGAAAATTCATTTTTTGGCCAAAATGAACAGTTATTATCCCTTTAATCGTAAGGATACTAAAACATGGCCATATTTGCTTATGACATTCATTCCCTGCTGTGCAAATAAATCATAAAGATATTAATATTAGGATATCTACATTAATGATCTTCATTTCCTACCACACAATTTTTATTTATTTATTTTTTATTTTATTTTATTTTTTGTTTTGTTTTGTTTTGTTTTGTTTTCTTTGAGAATAATTTTTTTTTTGTCCTAATTTACCAGATTTTGGCGTTTCCTGGGATTTTGCAGAAAATCTTCTTGTTCTTATCCCATTCCTTGGTTGCAGTAATGGTGCATTTTCTTGTGTTGAAACTTCTTCAGCTGAAGATAAAAGAAAGAAAACTAGAGCATCAGAGAGGTCTCCTGGTACCATACTGGAGTAAGTGTATTCAATGATTAACAGTATATAACTACACTGTATCATACAGCTTCATACCCGTGGGAGTTCAAAGCCCACACTTGAAAAAAAAAGAAGAAGAAACTGCATTACTTCCAGAAAAAGAATGCAATAAGGCTGGTTTTCCAACTCAGAGCTGTCTATCAGCTCTGTGAATCTTTATGTGAATCTGGGTATCATTAGTACGTAACATGGCAAGCTGGTGCTAATATTAATTCTATAAATGTGACATCCCACACTGAGTATACAGTACATTTACTTGTAACTTACCTGCTGCCAACAGAATTACAGCGACCAAAAATGGTTCAAAATTGAATTTAGATTGACTTGATGATAACCAAGAAACTGCCATTTCTCAACTGGAGTATCACCTACAAATAAACAAATGAAGTTAATATTTGATCTTAGTCCCAATAAAGTGTCTCAATTAAACTCCAGTACATGTATATGTAAATCCTATAGTGTTCACAAGTTCCAACATAGATCCTGTTACAGTTGTGGATTTAGAGGGGGAGGGGGGTCAGGGTGTCCTTACCTCCCCCCCCCTTCCATTCTTGGTCCCCTCATAAAATTAGAATACGATACCTTGCCTCAGTTTTCGGCCTTACATGCTCACGTACGGTGCATGTAAGGCCAAAAACTGAGGCAAACTATACCAGGAAGTAAACAAGTCATACTGATAACCCATACGTACCATGCAGGAAGTGAAATACATGTATAAGTATACTATAACAATTAACGTCAAATTGATAACCGATAATTGATAACCGATGTACTAACGTTAGTATCTGACATTTTTGCTTAGAATATCTATTAATTTGAGATAAACTCTTATCTCCAGACAGTCTCTTACCAAGGTGATACTAACTTACCACACCTGATTTTTACTTTCACTTCTCATGTTTGCGAATTTTCCTTTCGCTTTCTTTGAATTTATGCACAGACGGCGCCACATTTTGAAAGAAAAGCTGGCCCGATAATCAACTCTATGCAGCACCATTTCTAGAAATGCCTGGAATTATTTTGTTTTAGCTCAACCTTATGGTGAAATCCCTGTGTATGTTGTACAAAAAGAAAATAAAAAGGGTGAAAAACGTGCATTGCACAGAAATTTACTACTTCCAATTTCTGAGCTTCCCATTTCAAATTAATGCAAAAAGACCCGTTCCCAGAAAAAGAACTTCCAAAAGAGATACAAATAAAGTGGTAGAAGCAGACTGCATGTTCACCAAATTCTGATACAGACGGTACAAGTGATGAAGATACAGTTTTTCCTCTCAATCAACCTTTACTCCTCAAGGAGGGAGAAGGTAATGAAGCAAATGATGTGAGAGAAGAATCTTCAGCGAGTAGTGAAGCTAGTGATGGTCAAATGCCAGAGGATATCGTTGTTGACCGACCAACTCCTGCTCCATGGAGTAGTAGACTACAAGTAGCTTAGAAAACCACCCAGCGTGGATGAGTTCAGGTGATTTTATAAATTACATGCACAAATACTTTGAAAGGAAAACTTTTCAAATTACTTATTACTTTCTTACTTACAAGAATGATTCTTAGGATTGACATACAGATCACATTGGAAAACCAGCTTGATTGTTTTTCTTACATTTATATGCAGTTTGTGAAATTTTCATCTTTCTTATTCTGGCATTTTCAGTGTGTGAATTCAAACTCTCATTGACCTGAAGCCATATATGGTACAAATTTTTACAGTTCAAGTTACCTGTTGTGCAAAATTAAAATTTGGTGCTGATTTTGCTGTTTGTCTAAATGTACTGTTATAATACTGTTGTACGAATATACAAGTGCTAGTTGAGAAAATAGTGTCAACAGTGATAGTGTCAACATGCTTTGTTGTGGGTCGGCATTGTGCATAAAGTGTTGATTTTGATCAAATACAACAAAATTGATGTACGTATTATTTAAATTTAAATCATCTCCCCATGCACTGGTAATCATTTTGGATTTTGGCACCAGGTACAATATGTGGAACTATTCAAGTTGTCTTATCACCTTTGTTAATGTATTTTCCTATTTCAATGGGTAAAAATTGCTCATTTAATGATTTAACTGGCCTAGCTATTTGCATGTCAGATTTAGTTGTCAATCAACAATGTAACAAGCCTCAAGACTGGAAATTACTTTCTATGGTTCTCACTAGTCTATGTCACACAAAACAACACTGGCACAATATAGTTAATATACAATAATCTCAGTTAATAAATAAAAAGCTGCATATATATAGTCCACCTCCATACCGGGAAGATTTTCCAAAAATTAAAGAATCGAGTTCCAGTTTACACTAGACTAAGTGTGTGTGTGCGTGTGTGTCATGACATGTATACCATGATGAAAAAAACAATTTTGAATCATATATACTGTACAAGTACATGTATGTGTTCTCAATAAAAAGGGCATTCGATGAATGTAAATAAAAGAAATATAACTATCAAAGCACAATACTTTCTTATTAAATATTATAATTTTATTTGTCAAATAGTAAAAAGTTTCAAAAATATTAAATATTAATGAGAAGCAGGAAGAGAACTCAAGTTATGGCACGTGTGACAATACTGGTACATGCAATTCATCACTGGAACGATGGAGGCAAATCTACGGAAAAAAGTCCTGTGCAGTGCACAGCTGTTAGCTGTTAAAGATATGAACAGCACAAAAATCTCATAACTTAATGCTAGAAATAATTAAGCCCCACTAAAGTACCCTGTCTCATGAATCCATTATAAAAATACTTCGTGTTTTGAGAAACCAGTAACGACTGTCAAAAACAAGGAATATGGATCTAAGGTTATGTTGGCTCCCTTGCGCCCAATCAAAACATTTTGCATCACCTTTGGCTGCAATAAACCCTTAGATCTATAAGATTTTCAATACATTCTCACTAGTCTACATCACACAAAACAACACTGGCACAACAGTTAATTTACAGTAATCTCAGTTCATAAATAAAAAGCTGTATATATAGTTTACCTCCATACCAGGAAATATGAAAATATAATTACTCTCTCCAAAATAAATGACATTTTATTTATCAATAAGAGATTCTTCGAACGGTAAAGTATTACTCTTGTAGAATGTTGAATTAGTATCCCTATGTTAAATACTGTAGTACATGTACCTCTATGTCGAATGTTACACAACTATATTGAATGTTGTATGAGTACACACACCTCTGTATCAAATGTTGTACTATAATATGTATGCTGAGTTGAATAAGTAATTCTGTATATAGTAGCTCTCTGTTGACTGTTCTATTTGTATCTTTATGTTGAAAATATTCAACTTGTGAGATTGAATAAACATGAAACTTGATATTTAATATGCTTTAAATATGAGTATATATATTCACTCTGCCTATCTCATGATACATAATCAAATATTGGGCAAAGCTGCAAATACTGATGACCATGCAGGTGAGACCACATGTATTTGAAATGTTCTTCAACATTTTTCTTCCATTTTGTTGTTGTCAATGTCCTCGTACAGTTTCTCCTCAAACTTTCCCAGAGTAAGAACATCGCTGTCTGAGGCCAGGAGGATATCCAAGGAAGTAACAATGTCTTTGAATGTTGACCTTGAACTTGGGACCTCTTCCCAGCAGGACAGCATGATGGTGTACCTGACGTAAGAAGTAACACACCGGGACTTAAGTCATTAAGTCAGACATTATTTCACATGGTTCAGTTTATCTATACTTGCCAAGCAATTTCTAAATATATATATATATAGATATAATTCCAAAATTAACATTGTATACTGACATATCCTGTGAACAATGTGGTGGTTGTGGCATCCGGTATCCCTCAGTTATAGCTTCCATCACCTGCCTGGCTGACATACCAGGGTAGGGACTGAAACCTAAATAATATAAGCAGCAGTGAGAACTAGAGGATCAGAGAGGCGATACCGCCTCCAGATATTGTACCACCAGCTGGAGTAAGCGCATTCGTATGGACCCCCCCCTCCTAAAAGGGACACCATCACCAGTCTTGTGTTTGAGAAGCTCTATAAGATGCAATCAACAAGAGTTCACAAAATATGCAAAAAAATATAACTAAAAATGGTACAATCAAGCAGATTTTCGAATTGACTTGCATTTTCCTACCCTTGATCACTACTGTATTCTCTAGACAAAAGGCCTATTGGTTTCCTTGAAATGTGTTGTCAATGGTGCATATATGCTGACAAAAGAGAAAACCTAGGAGAAACAATGGGCACATATCTGCTAGTTTTAAAGATATGAGAGGCAAGATAATATGCAAAGCTCAGTTCATGGTGAAAAAGTAGGTCAAAGGTCAATTTCAATATCATAGTATATGAATTTCTATTCAAGTTCAATAGCAACCATGGGCATTTCTTTGCCAATTTTGCAGATTTAAAGGCCAGAAAACATGCAAAAAGCAGTTCATCATAAAAAGTAGGTCAAAGGTCAATTTCAAGGTCACAGATTGCTA